AAATGTAGGGCCTGAAATTGCATGTTTACTTGTCTCTACTTCCAGCTTGTGTATCTCAAGTTTTTCATGAAGAACCTCATACGTGCTTTTCGGCAAGTGGTTGCCACATGTTGCTCCATCTGTGGTAGAAAGCGTTCTACCCAACGAAAATTTGGGAAAAAGTTAGAGCCGGTCTAAGATACGAGAATTAACATTGGAGTCAATGGGGAAATCTTTAGTGATCTGTGTCCTGATGATCCAGTCTCTTTAGCCAAGTCAAGTAAGAGTTGCGCCCCTTCCCACAATAAATCCCATATTTCTTGCAGTAATATAAACAAACATGAATCGTGACGACGAATTAGGATTAATTTTAAAAGCATAGATATGGCCCATGAAGAGAGAATTTTTACAATAAAAAATTAAGAGTGTTAGATATTGAACTTGCATGCAATCAAATGGATTTTTTGAAATAACATTCTTAAATTAATTTCATGGGCGTAAACATCTTGTTTTAAAAGGGGTTACCTCCATTAGACGTTGTTTATGACAATGTAATAGATCGGATTATCTAGTCAATTTTTCTCAAATGTTGACAACGCATCCAGACTAATATTCATAGAATATTTTTCTGGATGATAGAGACTAATAGACACCAAGAAACAAAAGTCAAACGAGCGTAAATTTGTCCCTTAAACTCTCAACATGATAAAACGTAAAATCGCAAACGGACAATGGCATAAGTCTCTTGGCTAGGAAACTGGTCAATTGCATAGCATTATTTTATAATGCAAATGAAATGAAATGCGGTTTAACGTCCTACTGTTCTGCCCCGAACTGGCCTAATGAAGACAGACATACGCCATACAGTGTACAATGAGGGAATTTTTGCTTACTCTTATATCGAATTCCAACTGTCAAGGGATCTTTCATGTGCACGCCAATGTGTACACGGGACCTAAGTTTTTCGTCCCATCCGAACGACTAGACAGCTATCCTTGTCAGGCGCCCGTTCTACATCACTGACAAGGTGGAACCACGCCGTAAAATCTGGATGAACGTTCTCGGCCAATGCAGCTATCGGTCACCCGACCTCCAGGTTAGCCAGTCAGCGCCTTTCCTACTTAGCCACCGTGACCGCCCCCCCCCCCCCCATTTTATAATGCACAAAGAATGTAGATGATGTAGATAGACTTAACAATAAAGGATAACAACAAAGGATGTGCATGAATAAAGGATGCACGTGAACATAACAATAAAGGATGTATATGTATGTAAAAATGTTTCATCAAATATAAATATACATACATAGATACCAGTACCACAAGGTTGTATTTAAACCAATCAAATTTAGCAAATGAGGTATAAAATCTAAAATATTTATGTCAGAACATATTAGCTATCGTTTCAACCATGGAATTATTAAAATATGTGTAGTATTACTTCGATTTTCATATTCTTTTATTTACAGATTCGTGTCCGGTCAATTTAGAATATGTACTAGCCAGGCAACCAATAGGACTATGTTATAAAGTTTATACTGTAAGTCGATTTTTAAATATCTTTAAATCATTTGATTCCCGATTTGGCGACAACAGTTAATATTTGTGCTAATAAAACTGGAACTTACTTGACTAAATTTTGCATCTCTAATGAAAAATTATGGAATGATTACAATCCAGTTACGGTCATGTGACTTCCCTGCACGCAGCACACATTCGCCCGAAATAGGCATTCACCTGATAATAATATTTATTCACTTATTTATCTATGAAGTCCTTAAAATATACCTTATTTGCGCTTTGGATTTTATTACGAAATTGGTCAAAACTTTTGATCAAACTCGGTAGTTTCATTTGCCATTTATTTGATTGTAACATTCACAGTTGAGAATTATCTCGCGAGTTTTCCAGTTTTTTAAACCTACTGATACTTTTAAGACTGTGAAATTTACTTGAATTTAATCGTAAGACCTTTCGTTTAGTTACCAAATTCCCGTGGTGTTTAGAAGTTATGTTTTTGTTAGCTTTGAGACGGGACTGGGTATTAAACGAACGAAAAATATTTTTCGTAGTCTCAATTAACCAGACTCGTATTTTTAAAAATAAAATACTTTGTTAAGGTTCGTTTGATGCGATTTATTTTATTTTATTTAACTTTGTAATAATAAACTAGCCAAATGGCGACCACCGATGATTTGCTATTCACCATTTCATTTCATTTCATTTGAGTAAGCTGACCCGGGCAAAAATTATAAATTTGTTTGGAATAATAAATGAAATGAAATGGGGTTTAAAGTCTCGTTGTTCTGCTCCGACTGGGATAATGAAGACGCGTTGTAATAATAGGCATTATTAATAAATGTAAAATCAATGTATAAAAGGTAACCCTAATCTCGACAAAACCACCTCATGATCTCAACGGTTTTTGTACAGCTCTACAACTGCCAACTTTATCCTCGCAATACGGCGGGCAAGCGGGGGATTGTGGCTTTGTTATAAATTTTATAAATATGCTTTTAATAATAGCTATTATTAATAAATCTAGAATAGGTACCCCTCTTCTAGACAAAACCATCAGATGATCTCAGCGGTTTTTGTACAGCCAGCTCTACAACTGAGCAACTACCACCTTTACCCTCTCGATACGGCGAGAACGCGGGGAATTGTGGCTTTGTTGAGAATAAAGTCCACCTTGGAGAAAATCAAATAGTTTGATCAAATACAAACTTTGAAATGTAAAGTGCAGAGAATATCACACGAGTGTATTGACGTAGTTTTGAAGTCGGCAAAACACATAACTTGTTTAACAATGCTAGCCGATACGAGCAGATACACCACTGATTTGTTGTCTTCGAAGTACGCCCGAGCATTACCTTGAGCTTACCTTGATTATTAACAAAAATGACGTCTCACGTCGGATTTGTCGGAACGAAAACCAGTCTTTAATTATTCGTGGGATCCACGGTGGCTCAGTGGTTGGGACGTTGGCTCGCTGGCATTGTCACATAATAACCACTTGACTCTGTGGTTACACTTATAATCGATAGTCTACGCGCCATAGTCGCCAATTCCCTACCCAACACCCACACTTCGATTGACTTGAGAAATTTTTCATAGGTAGGGTGCCCCACCATAAATAAATATCTCCAAATAGCTCGACAATTACACCACAATATTTATATATACCAATACTTAAATCTGTTTGGCACATTATAGTCACTAAATAAACGGCCATGTTGTACTTAATAAGCTATGACCATTTAACCATCGATAAATAATAGACTGAAAAAAAGGTTCAGAGTGTCGTCCAAAACATCCATGCACTTTTAAGCAAAAAATAGGTTACGTGCCCTTGTTTTGAAATTAGTCTAGCATAACCAGTCTACCGACCATTCTGCGTCTGATTGACAGTCAGGGATAACCAAGACTACTTTTTTACGAAACATGATAGAAAGCTGGAAGAAGAAATCGAATTTAGAAACACGCACGGTAGGCAACTCAACAAATGTTTTAAGAACCTTATACATGTTAAATGAAACTACTGCTAGTATCATGTTCCTGTCTAACCCGAGTTTTTCAGAGATATTATTTGTACTAAACCAAAAGATGCCGGAATAGTTAAAGATAAAGCAATTTAAAAAATAAAACGAACGTAATTTCTAAAGCTGCTGTAATAACCAAAAAGTTAAATATTACTTCTATTCAGAATCGTCAACAATAGATTTTTTACACTTGTAATAGTTGATAGATGTATTGAGAGTTTTACGTGTGATGGCTATTTATAGACTCAAAGAGAGTGCGTGACCAGCCAGAAATCACTTCGAGACAAGTCACTGAAGCGTGCACATTCACCGTGTCGAGTACCAGTTTTGTAGTAAAAATTTTCGGCACATGGGGCACACTATCATGTGCGATATGATAACTAATACAGTGTGCTGTTTCCTTTCAGAATAGACCAGTAACATTTAACTTTATGAGCGATATAATGATAATTAATACATAGTGTGTCGTTTCCTTTCAGGACAGACAACTACTACAAAGTGCAGGAAAGTCAGTGTGTGAAAATGATGGTGGTTCATTAATAAAGTTAGATACCCTCGAGAAAAATGAACATATGAAAAACTTGTTGAAGACTTACACCGGTTGGTTAAATACTTTGTTTACCTTCTAAATGTGATCAGTCTATACATACTGTAATTGTTTGAAATAGAATCGACTATCGATATATTAAATAAATATTAACATTATAGACAAATCAATCGTGAAGTAGTATACCATGAAGGTGCAGGATTACTGTACTTTATATAAACTGTATTGAACTCAATTTTCTGTTTTGTCTTTTGTAGCAATGGTAACTGCTACACATTTCTATATTGGTGATGAAAGAACCAATGTGTGGACTTGGCCTGATGGTTCACTAGTAAGTTATAGTGACTGGGGACCAAATGAACCTACTAATTCGAATGCTGAAAAATGTTTAGTTTTGGCAAGGGCATATGGTTTTAAATGGGCTGACATAACGTGTGGACGGAATTATCACTTCATATGTGAAAAGCTTCTTTTTTAAAGATGCATTATGTAATAGCGATATATGGGTACTATCTATAACCCCTTTGCGCAAATTGTACTTGGGCAATTTGATTTAACAACGATTATTTGTCTCAAACAATTGAGTTATAATAATAACGAAATTTTTTTTATAATTATGACTAACACTTTTCTGTAATACACAAAATGAAAAAAATACTAAAAGGTCTTATAATTTTTATTGACGTGGTGATCGCCATTTTGTGGTCATTATAACTACTGCAGACAAGAGGTAAATATAATACCATACAGGAATAATTGTGACCGTGGTATTATAGCTTTCATTATTGTTTATGTGCCGCTGTGAGATGGTTTTCATCTTGCAAAAATTAAAATATTAGTCTATGGATTAGTATTTTCCGGGAATACACTTTTTAAATATTCGTACACATTCCTTCAAAAACAAATAAAAAACAACCTAAAATGTATAGTCCCTCACCTGGAACAAACCGGATCATTAAAATCGCCAAAAATGTTCAGCTCGAATAAACATGAGATGGATACCACAATAACATAGACTGACAGAAATATTAAACCCAACTTTTTGTCTACTTGCCATTTGTTAATAAAAATTGATATAAGCAAGAACGCCACGGTAGAAAGGAGTATAATTGAAGAATATGTAAGTCCAGCACTACTTATTACTACACGTTCTCCTGTGTTGACAATAAGTGTTTCCAGTAACCAGGGAAAACCAAGGCACATTAGAATATCAAAGATATTACTGCCTATAGAATTTGATACGGCCATATCGCCTAGACCTGGAAAAAAAATAAACTAGGAAGTTAAAAGGTTTATCAGCAAATATATATTAGCAAACTTAGCAGAAGATTCCATGCTTCAAACAGCAGCAGGTGAGAATAATATTGTACAATTGTACGTAAACGTATTAACATCCATTTCGAGTTTTTGAGTAATAATAGTAACAAATGTAATACTCAACCAATGGTCGTATTAAAGAGGCACTAACCCTTTCTCCAAGAATTTATTTTGTTCCGCACAATATTTGAAAGAACCCGAGGCACGATGTGTTTATAATATATCTTTGGACAACGTCTTGGCCTCACTAAAACAACTGTGTATTCATTTTCAGTTCACAGTACACAATATAAGTTCAATTGGGTCATTAAATCAAATATCTCGTACTTATCTCGGTTGATATCATGAAGTATTCAGTGAAAGAGAGAGAAATGGAGTTTAACGTCCACTCGACACAAACTAAGTCATTTCGAGACTAACATATCGTTTAATTATATTTCAATAATTCGCTTGTGCGTAGGGGTCATTAGCAGTGGAAGGAAACCGGAAGACCTGGAGAAAACCCACGAGGTTGGACAGGCAACCCTACTCCTTCTCAGAATTCAAGTTTGGTAGGAAACATAGAAAGTGGTGCCTTATGATTTCATATTTAAAACTTAGAAATTGAAAGGGTAGAAATTGAAAGATGTTACTCACCATCTCTAGCTACAAGCAGACTGGCTAGACAATCTGGAACACTTGTCCCGGCGGCCAGGAATGTCAGTCCCATTACCGTATCTGGTATTTCTAAAGCATCTCCTGAAACATAAAGTAGTATAAGTCTATGGTAGCCCATACTCATCGACAAGCTACCCTACTCCTTGTCACGTACAAGCTAGAAAACAGTGACTCAGTGACAGAGCTTACGATCTAAAGCGCAAGCATTAGATCATTCCTCCTCCCTCAAATTAATAAACAATCTGGAATAAGATAATTGTTTTTGTAAAACACATAAATAGTCCTATACCAAAGCTCTGAGGAAGTGTATATATTGATATTGATATTAGTTTTAGTCAGTCATTTCTTTTAAATTGCATAAAAGGGAAGAAATTACATAATAAATAAATAAATAAATAAATAAATAAGCTTTTAATAAAATATTCACGATTTCCATAAATACTTTTAAAATATAAGCAATATACCTATAATCAAAACTAACCTGCAATTGTCACCATCCATACCATGAGATAAGAAAAAATGGCCACCCATATTATAGAGGACAAGAAGGTCAGTAAGAAGAGTTTTCTCCAGATTCCTGGTTTTCTGCAGTCAGGAACGGTTATATACAGCAGAACTTTTACTGGTAACATAGCTACCCAAAATATACGGGACGGAAATCCGACTGGTATTGCCCAGGGAGATTCATATTCATCATCTGAAAATATTAGATAACTAATTTACACCCCATTTGCACGTATATCTACTTAGCACTGGGATTTACGTATCCACGATGGAGAGGGGGGGGGGGCTGCTCAAACCATTATGCTTTTAGATTTACCTCTGTTCAGCAATTGCAACCAGAGAGAGAGAGAGAGAGAGTGAGAGAGATACAATGGGGCATTACGTCCTATATACCTTTCTGCACCAACAGAGCTAATGAAGACAGATATAGGTCATAATATAGTGTTTTGCTATGAGAGAAATTTTACTGCGATCTAGGTTTATTTCGAATTCCAGCAGTCAATGTTTCTTTAACGTGCTTGGGAGCTCTGCTGTTCGATAAAATTCCTGGCAGGCTCTCACTTCACTGGTTCTCTAATGTTAAATGTTAAATAATTAATTTGAGACATTTTATAGTGGAATAAGTATTGACAAAAAAGTAGATATTGTTCGAAAAAACTCACGACCAGCATTGGCGAGTTTGTTGGGGTTGTTTAATCTTAAATTTACATTTTGTTGTAGGTTTGTTCCATGTAGTCAGAAATTTACCTTTATCTTGATTAATTTCTTCCACTTTACGTATATCCTTATCCACAATATCCTCACTCAAACCAGTTACTTCTCCACAAAAGCCGGTTTCTTCTGACCGACTCGCTAGCGAATTTGATGCCGACACCGTATCGTCTCGTAGTAGTGGCTGAGTCTCTGCTGTTGATTCGGTTTTAGATCCATTACTGGTGGGGTGTTTGTCTTGAAAAGCTTTAATGGCAGATATGGCTCTTTTTTCCAACCGAGGATTAAAATACATGACGATAATGTAGACTATATACATAATGACCATGATCAAAGCCTCATACCTTTCAACATAAACGTTTGTTTAACGATATTGATAATAGTGGAATACTGGGAAACAGCTTGTTATAGCGCGTGTAAAAAAATAATGCTTGAAGAAAGTGCGCCTTTAAAATACAGAAATATTAGTTGTCTCCCTTAGTAATGCAAACTTGATAACTGTTTTTTCCACAACATGGACACGTAAACCCCATTAATTTTGATAAATTTACTATTGGCACTTTTTGCAGAAATGTGCTGATATAGGATAATCGGACAATACAAGGTTTGCTGCATTTCGCACTAACTAAATGAAAATTCACCAAGAATACAGTTTTATACTATTATAGGTTTCTAACTTACCAGTGGACCTCTCCATCATAAATAACTAAAATAAGAGCTAATACAGACAATAGATAAAATACTAAATCCCGAAACAATGGCCACCAAGTTAATTGCACAGCCTGGAAAATATCAAGGAAAAAAAAGATTCGATAAATGAAAATAATAAAGGATCAGGTACAACAGAAATTATATTTATAAATATGCCATGATCCTAATTACAGGCTACATAATCCAATCGAAGTACAACTATGTAGCGACATCAAAATTCGATAATGGAAAGTGGAACCAGGTGTTTATAAAAAGGTAAGTATACACTGCCTCTGTTCTTTTAAAATCGACATATACAGCTGCTACCAGCCACTTACAGGTTTTTAATGTACTAGTGATCGTGGTCTATACCTGCCTCAAATCTACGGATTAACCGGAAAATTTAAATACTTAATTTGCTTAATTTTGAGTTTATCAACTACTATCTAAACATACACGTGGGGGGGGGGGGGCTTCTAAGTAGCAGGGTCGTCCGTTAAAGTTCGTGTCAGTAAATCCTGCTTTTGACGAATAAGATATAGAACCCTATCCGGTATCGCGTTCCCCGTCTTCATTAGATTCGTCTGTAGCTATATGGTAGAATGTAAACGAGGAACTGTAAATGCCTACCATCCCAGCAAACAGGCCACATATGGCTATTATAAATAGAATATTAAAAACTGCCGATCCTACAATTGTGCCAACTCCAACATCACTTTGGGCAATAAAAACTCCTGTAAATATCGAAAGGAAACTCCAGAATTATTCAAATAAAGTAAACAGTAGAAAAACGGAAAAACATTGGTTGCTAATCTTAGTTGAGGATACCTCGTAGTTAACAAATATGTCTTATACTTTGGTCAATAATACATTGGTCAGTTGAAAAGGAACAGGGGATCACGGTGGCTAAGTGGGTAAGGCGCTGGCTCGCTAGCCTGGAGGTCGGGTGTTCGATCCCTGCATTGGCCGAGAAAGTTCATCCAGATTTTCCGGCGTGGTTCCCCCTTGTCAGTGATGCAGGACGGAGGGCCTGACAAGGACAGCTGTCTAGTCATTCGGATGAGACGAAAAACCGAGGTCCCGTGTACACATTGGCGTGCACGTAAAAAATCCCTTGACAGTTGGAATTCGATATAAGAGTAGGCCGTAGTGCCGCTGTCCGGGCAAAATTACCCTCATAGCACACTGTATGGCGTATGCCCGTCTTCATTAGCCCAGTTCGGAGCAAAACAGTAGGACGTTAAACCCCATTTCATTTCATTTCATTTTGAAAAGGAACTACTTTTTTTAATTTTTATTAAAAGTAACTTCTTTTTTTATTAAAAGTAACTTCTTTTTTTTCTTTTTTTATTAAAAGTAACTCTTTTAAAAGTAACTTCTTTTTTTTCTTTTTTTATTAAAAGTAACTTCTTTTTTTTCTTTTTTTATTAAAAGTAACTTCTTTTTTTTCTTTTTTTATTAAAAGTAACTTCTTTTTTTTATTAAAAATGAACTATCTTTATTTAATTGATCTTGATGGAGACACTGGATCAATATAAAGGACTTTGCAATGGTTGAATTGCTGTCAAAAAAATTATGTATCACTATGCCGTAATGTAATCAGCTTCAGTAAAAGTGAAATCTATAGCAAAGAATTATATTTATTTATTTGTGCATGTAAGATAGAATAGGGTGATATATAAAATCTACTATATATATATATATATATATATAGTCGTCTTTTTTGATATCAAAAAATATCAACACTCGTCGATAAAGTAAAAAAAACTCGGCAGAGCCTGTTTTTTTTAATTTATCGACTTGTGTTGATATTTTTTGATATCAAAAAAGACTCCTAGGTGATTTTCTATATATTCATTAAAACGGACTTACCAACAACCGAGGTAAAGAATTTTGGCGCAGAGCCTGTTTTTTTTTTAATTCATCGACTTGTGTTGATATTTTTTGATATCAAAAAAGACTCCTAGGTGATTTTCTATATATTCATTAAAACGGACTTACCAACAACCGAGGTAAAGAATTCTGGTGTAGAACTTCCTGCCGCCATAAAAGTTGCCCCTGCTACATCTTCTTGAAGCTTAAGACCTGATGAAATTGATATTTGGTTGTTACACAGTGAACATGCATTGATTCTTTCACCAGTTGTGATAATGATACGACTGAATTAGGCGATATATTTACAAACTTCGTACCTTGCTAGACATTAAATATTTTCAGCAAACAATTTAACTTAGCTGGATTTGTCCAAACTTGGTCTTCAAACGGGGACTTATCTAATGAAATGTATACAAGTTTTTCTCTTTTTGGGTTTTTTTTTTTTTTTTTTTTTTTTAATTTTAAATATATTAAGAAAATACAATATCAACATTCCGTAATTGGACAAAACTACATAACACTTTTCGTATATTGGCCAATAATTTATGTGTTAATGTTTTATGTGTGAACTATAATTTTGCCAGGTAAGTTAAAGTCCGACTAGTAATGTGTATCCAGTGTTACTTATCTAAATACATTCATCAGGTATTTCATCAAAAGATTTAAGCATAAATATGTCTTAGTAGTCCAATTAGCTGTCATTTGAGGGGAATATTGATCTAGACTAAACAGTGCTCATTGTTTATTTATTTCATGTCTAAGATTGGGAGAAAAATCAGCTTCTGCGCAGTTGGTATTCGATAACTGTCGAATTGCTAATTGACATTATAATACCCAATCAAAAACACACTTTTATGGATAACAATTACTATGGTTTATTTCACTGCGACGTTTCAACAAGGTTTCACAAGTCGTTATCAAGCATATATACAAATAGATAAAAAATGAGAAAGATATGAATATAAATACAAACATCAGTGCGAACTATCCAATGGAATGCAAGGTGAGTGAGCATGTTTAGCTATAACAAGCTATTGATGTAACAAAGGTGCATAATCGTATTTAAAATACAGATGTGACGTCACCCTTTGATGTTGGCGTACCATTATTTCAAATAATCGTACGGGCAACTTGCCAATAGTACTTTATTCATACCAGTGAGATATTGGACTAGTGTGACGTAAAAGCTCGTGCGGAGTGTCAGTATTTTAAGATGTTTAATGGTCTCGAGCTTACGACATTGCGTAATATATTGTAAAAACATTCGGGCCTACGGCCCTCATGTTGTTACAATATATTACTTAATGTCTCGCTCTCGACCATTAAACAATACATATTAGAGTTGGCTTATTGTACAATTAAAAGATGAAACAGGGCATTAACCAAGATTAACACATATTGAAACCATACACAGTGTACCATAACTGAAACCAGTATATACTAAGATTACTAAATAAACACACATAAAGATCAAACTGGGGGTTTATAGAATTATATCAAACCATAATGTTTACATTGATTATAACAGTTAGGAAATATAGAATTTTACGGTTATGTTTTAAAGTTAAGTAATAAGTTGCATATATGTATTTACAAGGTGAATATATATCAAAGGCTTGAATAAAATATAAATAAATAATGACAAATTAAGCAGAGGGCCCTATGATGAAACCTTTTTATAATTATAAATATGAGAGGTATAACATAACATAAAATACTGTGAATAGCTAAATAAATTATAGAAATTAATTGAAACATACAAATTTTACATATTGTTAACAGAGGATTATAAAATGTGAGGGTTGTGGGTATGGAATATACAATGAATTCGGTATTGGAAAATGCCAGTAGCTAAATATGGTTTTGCATGGGGAATTACTTAGGGGGACTGTGTTACAATTTGATAATGCGGTCATATGCTCTGGGGATATAGACGCCTGGGTCTCGATTCAGTTTCGGTTCATGTCTTCTGATATTGATCGCCTCATGTATTCTTCTGATTCTTTTGCTGTGGTGGTTCACAGCCAACGTTTTAACTTTGGTCCAATCGACACGGTGTCGTGGGTTGTCATTCAGATGTTCAGCAACTGCAGATTGGTTGGTGGGGGCTTTTGACATGTGTTCTTTCAGTCGGATATCTAATGGTCTTTTAGATTCTCCAATGTAACTTTGCTGGCAACTGCAGTTGATTTTGTAGACACAGCCTTTTGGTGAGAAGGGTTTGGTGGGGTTCAACTTTCCATTCGCTTTTGCTATGTCTTTGGTTGTTGTGCCCTTCAAGAAAGTGGTTTCAATATCTGCTTCCCTTTTCAATAATCTTCTGATTTGGTGAGAGATGTTGCCGTGGAAAGGTATGAAGATTCTAATTGGATGTTTATCGTTTTGAGGTTTATCAGGTTTTGGTAGGTCGGCAAGTGTGGCATTGATGAGCTTGTTGACCAATTGTTCTGGGTATCCGTTGTGCTGGGTGAATACTTTTTTCAAGTGTTGAATTTCTGCGGGAAGGGATTCAGGGTCACAAATATTCTTGGCTGTTTTGGTTAAAGTGGTGATAATGCCTGCTTTAGTGCTGAAGGGGTGATTAGATTGGTAGTGGATATACTGATCTGTATGTGTTGGTTTTCGGTACACTGAGGTGGTGATATTGGCATTCTCTCTTCTTACCAGTACATCAAGAAATGGGAGGCTGCTGTTGGTTTCATTTTCAATTGTAAACTTCATTCTTGGATGTTGGTTGTTGAGGTGATTCAGGAGGACGAACGCATCTTCTTCTTCTTTTAGCATGACGAAGATGTCATCAACCCTTCTGAGCCAGACTAGCGGTTGAAAGGGAGCGGTTAAAATAGCTTCTTCCTCTAGTGATGTCATGTAGATTTCAGAAATCAGGGGGGATAATGGGCTTCCCATAGGTAATCCATGAATCTGTTCATAATAATTATCTCCCCACGTAAAGTAAGTAGATTCCAGACATTGCTTAATCAGGCGAATGATTGTGTCAACTTGTAGTGAAGTATCCAGCGGTGTAGCGGACTGGTGGAGACGGGTTTCAAGAACTCTCAATGCTTCTTCTCTTGGTACGTTGGTGAATAGATCGACTACGTCGTATGAGAGCATTTTCCCAGGATTTCTGACATCTTTGACACGAACGCAAAATGCATACGAGTCCTTGATGAAGGAGTCGGCTGTTTTCCCTAGTGGTGCGAGTAATTTGGATAAATACTTAACTGTGTTGTAATAGACCGAGTCAATGGAACATATGAGGAGTCTTGCTTTGATTGGATTTTTGTGAATCTTAATAGATGCTCTAGCATATGGTGGGTGGGGGTGGTCTGGTTTAAACTTGTTGAGGATGCTGTTGGTGATCTTTTCTTCTTCCAAAAGTGACTTCAAAATTTTTCCGTAATTTTTAACATGTGTGTTGGTTGGATCTTTTCTGAGGCGTCGGTAGGTTGAGGTATCTTTAAGTAAGTCTTCAACAATGGTATGATATTCATCTGTGTTAATTACTACAGTAGCTTTCCCCTTATCTGCTGGCACGATTGTTATCTTTAGATCATTGCGTAGTTCCTTTAGTGCCTTCTTCTGCTTCTGGGTGATGTTACTTGGTTGCGGTTTGGCTTTAAGAAGTAGGTCGGTTACTTGATGTCTGAGGTATTCCACTTTCCCACCTGGTGCTAATTGTCGTAGTCCCTTTTCAATATTGGCTATAAAGGTATCTGTATGAGGTTTTTGGTTGGATGGTACAAAGTTGAGTCCCTTGGAGAGTAGATTGATTTCATCTTCTGTTAAATTTCGGTCGCTAATGTTGACAACTGTTTTAGTTAGGTAATCGTTAGTGGCCCTCGAAAGCGATCGGGGAATAGGGCCACCTTTCCAATGGAACTAGTATTCGGTTTTAACGGTCAATACTTATCCACGTGACGTGTTGTGAACGGACATAAATTGGGTAAATTTGATTCGGTAATGTAGTAGGATCTTTGTGGGATGTACATGTAAACTCTTTGTGAAAGAGCGTGCATTATACAGTGCTATTAACGTATTGTATTCCTGCGATTATGGACGCAAAAGTGAAAGCGCCTAATTTCTTACCTGTACATATGTGTTCACACGATGGTACGAAGTAATCGTCACAAATAATAGCCAATGCACCAAACAGATAAAGAGACAGGAGTATATGAATAAAAACTCCACCATCTTTGGTGTCTTGTAAGGACATCAAATTCCCTGGGAAATTATCAACTGATCGTGGAGTACAATTCTTCTGCTCTGTGGGAAAAAAATATTTCAATTATTTTATTTATTTGTTTTTATATTCAAACTGCAAGTTTTTCATACCAGCATCTGGGTTTGGGTTCTCAGATAGAACTGGTGGTTGTTGGAACAAATAATCGAAGTACAATCGATGGTAATTCGTTTCACTAGTCGTAAAGGTGTATATACATGTATTTATCAATGTCTGTGCTACTGTCGGTTATATAACGGATCACGTGTCAGATAAGCCATTTTGTAAATATCAATCCCCGACTAAAAACGGATCATTATCATTCAATTTCGTCATGGATACATTAAGAAAAATTACTCTAATTTACCTTCTTCTAAAGTGATACTTCTTTTAATTCTGTGCCGGTCTCCATTTTCGGCAATTGATGTTGCAGTATTAAAAGCTGGAAGATTCGAATTACTGCTAATCACCAATTCTCCTACAAGACCAAGAAGAACAACACCAATGTACACACAACCAACAAAACAAAGCCGTACAAAACGACGTCTTTTTCTTAAGAGCAACATCTTTTCCATTCTAGCGAGAGTGTGAACGCGTGTCCTTATATACTGTTTTACAATTAATCATAATAATAAATAATATGATCTTTAATATATTGCTACTGCTACATGACGTCTATTTTATAGATATGATAGATATGAAAAGTTATCAACATATACAACAAACTGTTGTAATATCTATCTATTAATATCAATGGGACATTTCGTCGAGATGTACTATATTCCAAACTGAGCTTTGAAACACGTTACTGTGCGTGTTTCCAATAATACACCTTGAATGTTATTTAAAGTTACGAAACACTGAATTATTTTACTTATTGCAATCTAATTAATGAATTACCACATATCGTTATATCCGTTCTGTTCATTGGAAACGTTATATAGTTTCAAGTAAAGATACTTTTTGAAGGTGCAATTACTAATCTAATTATTCTCCAAGGAATTTCTATATGTAAATTACACGCTTAACTGTCCCTTTAAATTTACACGAGTCTATAAATAAAGACCACTGTAATCATATATGGTGAAATGTTCTTGAGTATTTGATAAGATATGAGATAGATAAATGTGTGATGAAAATGTGGTCCCTGAGCCTTTTCGGGAATAACAGAGAGATATGACTTTGGACATAAATAAAGACTGTTTTTGATAAATATAATTATTATCCTTGAGTGGCATTTACCGACTGAGTACATTAAAAACACAACAGAATATATATGGAAAACAATCAGTGGTTTATACACATAGAGCACGACGTTTCGATAAGTGTTCTCTAATCGTTTTCAAGTACAAATGATAATTAGTAATGTTGTTTATTTCAAATTCAATGCCCCATGCATTATACTATGATAGAATGGACAGGTTGATTTAATTATGTGATTTACATATCAAGGTGTATTGTGATGAAAAAGAAGAAAATGTTTAAAACATAAAACGTTCGTGCTTATCAGATAATTAGAAAACTAAAATACAGCTGCTCGCATTGTGACTAGGTCAAATCCATGCTCTCATATCACTCCTGTACTGAGAAAACTCAATCGGTTGCCTGTTCAAGCCATGTCTATTTTAAATATTGTCTCTTGTCTATCAGTTTCTGGGTGGAAGAGCGGTTATCAGGCAAGATACGCCCACATTTTGTAAGAGATGGATAGAGAACAACCAGGGGCCATAATCCATGAAGATATGGTCTGAAATGCGCGAATATCGAAATGAGTTGAGATATAAAAAATATATTTTTAAGTTCCATCAAATTCGGATATTACATACTTTTACACTATTTCAGTACAAAGGAACGGTCATATTCGCGAAATTCGAACTCAGGTCATTAGGATGTAATGGTGATACATTTGACCGTTTTTTAAAACCGGATAACAATTGTAATCTCTAGAGGGTCCATAAGCTAAAAACATGATTTTTCGTACAATCAAGGGCCATAATCCAGTAAGTTACTGTCGGATATGCGCAAATATTATAATGAACCAAGATCTTTGGATTATAATTATACATTTCACGTTTCACCAAAATCAGATGAAAATTGTGACTTCTAGAGTATCCACAAGCTAAAAACGTGATTTTTCGTACAATCAGGGGCCATAATCCATGAAGTTTCAAATTGCGTTACATAGATTTCTGTGATGAGGTAATAAAGGGTTTCCCTTTGGTAGGCCATGGATCTGTTCATAAGTTTCATCTCTCTAGGTGAGTGGGTGGAGTTACTGCACATACTGACTAGACTAACTATATACTCTCTTGACAAATTTGTTTCCAACGGTCCTTCAAGATTGTTGATTCGTGAGCTTAGGACTTCCATTGCTTCATCCCGGGGCATATTATAGAATAAATCTACCACGCCATAAGATACAATTTTGCTTGAGTCACTTATATTTATATTCTTTTCGCAAAACATGGTGGAAAATGTTATGAATAAATACTCGGCCCTGTCTGATGAAGGGAGATACAGTGGACGTGGTCAGACGAGTTTAGAGAAGATCATTTTGTTGTTATTTTAATTATGAGGTTTACACATTGAGATGTTAGCGCTAATATTTGTTGGTGTTTGGTTAAGCGGAAGTGGATGGGTCAGTTCCTTAGTAAAAGCTGGAATTGTTACCTCCGGTGTTGACGAATCATGTTTATCTACGTCACATCTAAAACGCATCAGATATGTCCATGAAGTTACTTGCTTCGCTTTGTACACAGTTTATTGTTTCTGGCTTTTCACCGCTACAAGTTGCTGGTCCACAACAAAGCATTACGGGGGGTTGGATGGCCTAATGGTTAGCGCGTGTGCGTTGTATCATAAAGTCTGTCATTAAGTCAACTAGCGTGGTTTCAAGGTCCCGGTTGTACGTGACAAGGAGTAGGATCGCCTGTCCATCCTCGTGGGTTTTCCTCGGGTCCTCCGGTTTCTTCCCACTGCTAAAGACTCCTACGCGCAAGCGAATTATTGAAATAAAATTGAACCGTGTGTTAGTCCCGAAATGACCTAGTTTGCGATCACAAGTTTCTATATTATCATTTGTTCAATCTTTAAGTCATATATCAGCTCTAAAGAATTTGACTTCATTCTTGTTTGCTATGGATCATGTTATCTATTTTAGATGGTGTCTGTTCACTTCAAAGATATATTCCTTCTTCGACAGAAACATCCGAAGGTCGCAGATGATTTTGAGGTCTGTGGTTTTGTCGTTCGAAAGACTGAAAAGTCATTTTCTAGTATAGCTACTTTGTTTGTGAAGGTAATCAACCCGTAAAGAGTTTGGTTAAAATATTTGAAGAATATGGTAATCCATTCCAAGATGCTTCGGGTGATCTAATTTCGTTAGAGACATAAACTATACAACGTGCAACGGCTATCAAAAGTATGATGACCATGAAAAGCACTAGTTTTAAACCGTATGTAGCATATTGTCAAGAAAGACTTATACAGAACACTTTCACCGAACAAATTACTGAATCCACCAATGCCACCAAAACCCCTGTTTATTCTAGGAATGGGATTTACATATTTACTACTGGGTCACCTAGAAGAAGCCAACAGGATATTTTAAATGAGAACTGTTCCTTATTTTCCAGATATATATTGGATGTCATATTTATAAGAACTTAGTCCTGATTGTATCACCTTCATAAATTTTCATAGGTTTTAATGTAAAATGGGATTTGCCATCGAAAGAGAGGTTTCAATGTGGTTCTTCCCTATTGGCCTAATGAACAATCCGTGCAAATTTGAAAACAAAGCCCGCCATGAGTTGTGACAGGCACAGTGTTATTGCAAAATATTGGATGATCAATTAAACGTGAACGTATAAAAAAGACATTGTAGGCGTTGACACGAAATTAACCAACTGGGCCATATGCTACAGTGTTATGAGGGAAGTTTCGCCCGGAGAGCGTCACGGCCAAACCTTTTTTCGAAATACACCTTTCAATGGCCTTTTTACATGCACACCAATGTGTGCATTGGACCTCGTTTTTTCGCTTCATTCGAGCAACTAGACACTTTCCTTGTCAGACCCTCTGTCTTGTACCATTGACAATGAAAAACCAGGCCGGAAAATCCTAGGAACATTTTCGAATAACACCGGGAACGATCCCGAGATTCCGGGTTAAGGAACCAGCGTTTTACTCACTGAGACATCGCGGCTCAGAATAAAATAAAATTGTGTTGTGATAAAATAAAACCAAGTACGAACAATCCAAACCATTAGACAAAATCCGAAGTCCTAAAAAACAAAAACGGTATAGGCAAAATAGTGTAATCAGCATATGGACTGTTCACCGTGTACAAAATACACGACAAACAGTGGTAACAGGTGTCCGGAAGAGTAAGCTTACCCTGCCTGGCGCCACACCCGCCATAGCTGCATCCAAAATATTAGGCGAAATCTCGGTAAAATATCGTGATTGGCCAATGGACTATCGGTATGCAAAATGTACGTGATGAACAGTGTTAATGATGTAGTAGACAAATATTATCAGGGAGATTGTATACGCGTCAATTAAATATATCTAGAATAATAGCTGAGAGAGACATGTTATATTTACCAATCAAGTCAATGGGTGAACTAGATACAAGACATACATAATTATTAACCAGCGGCTGCCAGGCACGATACGCCCACATTTTCGAGAGATGGATAGAAAACAAGCTAAAACGAAAGTGATTTTTCCTACAATCAAGGGCCATAATTCAGGAAATTACAATTCGATATGCGCAAATATCGAAAGGAACCAAGATCTTTGAGTTATAAACTTACATTTCAAGTTTCAACAAAATCGGATAAAAATTGTGACCTCTATAGGGTCCACAACCTTGATATACCATATTTTTACGCAATTTGAGAACGAGGGGCGGCCATTTTGTCTGTCAGTTTTGGGCCGATTTTCACGAAATTTGAACTCAGTCTTCCTTAGGGTGTAACGGTGATATAATATTACGGTTTTTTAAATCGGATAAAAATTATGACCTCTATAGGGTCCACAAGCCAAAAAACGCGTTTTTGCGTACAATCAGGGGCCATAATTCATGAAGTTACGGTCCGATATGCGCGAATATCGAAAGGAATCAAGATCTTTGTGTTATAAACTTACATTGCAAGTTTCAACAAAATCCGATAAAAATTATGACCTCTATATGGTCCACAACCTTGATATATCATATTTTTACGCTATTTGAGAACGAATGGCGGCCATTTTGTCGGTCAGTTTTGGGCCGATTTTCACGAAATTCGAACTCAACCGTCCTTAGGGTTTAACGAAGATATAATAATACGTTTTTTTAAATCGGATAAAAAATTATGACCTCTATAGGGTCCACAAGCCAAAAAACGCGTTTTTACGTACAATCAGGGGCCATAATTCAGGAAGTTACGGTCCGATATGCGCGAATATAGAAAGGAACCGAGATCTTTGGGTTATAAACTTACATTTCAGGTTTCAACAAAATCGGATAAAAATTGTGACCTCTACAGTGTTCACAAGCCAAAAACGTGATTTTTCGTACAATCAGGGGCCATAATCCATGAAGTTACGGTCCGATAGATGCCAATATCGAAAGGAACCGAGATCTTAGGGTGATAAACCTATATTTCAAGTTTCATTGAAATCGGATGAAAATTGTGACCTGTAGACTGTTCACAAACAATTGTGGACGGACGGACAGGGGCGACGACAATATACGTCCACATGAAAATGTGGGCGTATAAAAACTTTCCTAGTTTGATTTTTAAAATGTGATCATCTGCTTGATTTATTGACAATTTTGTTAGCCCTAGCACAACGATTTTACATTCTCTGGCGTTATTTTGGAGGTTAAAAATGCATTTATCCGGTCCATCCGGACATTCGCGGGCGGGTACATTATGACATGACACAGTTTGAAGCTTCGGTTCATAAGAAACCAGATATCGTACTTTAATGTTTTTAGGGTTTTGTTTTGTGTTCGTCAACAAAGCGATCGTGACTTCGTGACCAGGATTTTTAAATAAAACTATGGGATTTTTATGGTTTTTTGGGGTTTACTTATAGGAACTTGGGTGCGATTTTCTGCTGAAAAACACAATACCGGTGTAGTTTTCATTGGCTGTGAGAACTAAACCCGGATGTTGGGTTTATCGAATTGCCAACGGCGGTATTAATTTTAGTAATCCACAAACTGTTTCTCTGTTATGCTCTGTTTAGCACTGAACCCATTTTAGGCAGTTTGGGGAGTTCGCCTATTGTCTCACTTCGAAAAGACACACTACTGTCCCATTGAATAGGCTACTAAATGTATCCCAAGCACATACCAAATGTCAAGTGTCATGTAACATAAAGCATTCAATATTATAATAGATTTTGTGACGATAACAAATATTACAATAAATCTCATGGTGTATTTATGGAAAATACCAAAAGAAATCTTTCCCAAAATAGACTATCCATAGACTATGTTTTGTTTTGTTTTTTTGTTGGTTTTTTTTCTATTTTTTTTTTGGGGGGGGGGGGCGTGTTTGGGGAGATTTAATACATAATTGGTGCCATATTTTACAAATGGTCATTTTTATTGTTTAAAATCTCAATATAACGTTCATAAATCCATACAATTAGTGCCTCATTGATAATGTAATCATAAGGGTAGTCTTTCGGAGACTTGTCTTAATTAGTAAATCAAATTCTAATTGTGTGTATTGGCAATGGCATCAGAATTGTAATGGGTGCGTTTTCTTTGGTTGTATCGTTATTTCTTTGATATTAATATTATCGTCGTATTTTTGTTGTTTTGATGGGGGGGGGGGAGTCTCACTGTTCTACTCCGACTGCGTTAATGCCACATAGTGTACTGTAAGCGACATTCTGCTCGGACAGTCGCGCCACGGCCTACTCTTAATATCAAATTCCAGCTCTTACGGGTTCTTTTACGTGCACGTCAATGTGTACACGTGACCTAGATTTTTCGTCCTACACATTCATTTTAGATGTACTCTTAACCAATGGGCGCTACCTGACACCTGTTTTGTTTTAAAAGAACCAAAATTGGAATTTCAATAATATCCATAAGTACTAGTTTAATTAGGAACATTTCTTTGCGAGCCCTTAGCTTGACAATATTATGTGTAGACCTGAAAAATTAAATTTTCGATTTCATTGGATTTTATACGTACATTTATTTTGTATGGTGAAAATCGGTCTTCTGTAAAAAATTTGCACGCGGTAAAGTATACCATATTAAAGTAGCTAAGTCTCTAACTCAGTATCATCAAAAGTCCTCGACATTGAAAACACGAATTATTTGTCAGTTCAAATCAACATTGATGTTGTGGTCTTACCGGGAAAATGTGGGCTTCTGATATTCAATATTTAAGACAAAATAAACATTTTGCCATTGGTACACGAATCGTGAACCATAATGCGTTTCAATACCATTGGTAACACGGGGCTCGAAGAACGAGGCTAGACATATTCCACAAGTCATGTCAAATGGTGACGCCATTTTCTTATCTGGAGAGCATGCACAATAAATACGCTAGAGATTGCCATTCCATTGAGACTTCAGGCGTATTTCGCCGAACATGACTGATAAGAAATTACAGTAAAAACAGAAACCATTGAATGTAAAACAGTTTATATACAATCATAATACATTATTATATGCGTTGCGACCCATTTGAGTCAATTTCTAGGTCCCAAATATTAGCGATTTAGCTCCTTTAAGGTCATCTATAAAATTATCGAATCTTGGTCATGAATTGGTGGTTACCAAAATAAATTTGTTTACTTGCTATGTATTTGGTATGGTGAAAATCGATCTTTTCTTAAAAAAAAAATTGTCACGCGGTAAATCATTCTATATTAAGGTCATGTATAAAATGATTGAATCTTGATTATGAATTGGTGGGCAAACAAAATAACTTTGTATACAGTCAATGGTTATTATTACAGAATAAATATCTGAATACCAAATCTGAACTCCAACGAAACTCTGTATACCCCTGTACAGAATATAACGCCGTCGAACTTGTGTGTCATTTAATTTTGAGTCCCTTCAAGCTAGTAACAAGTAGGCCTATGTGTGAAATTTTGAATTCCAACTGTACACGGGACCTTGATTTCCGTTCTGTGTCCTGACAATGGTAAACCACGTCGGAAAATTATAAGAAATTTCTTTGCCATCACTTGGATCGGAGCCGGCACCTTCAAATTCAGGCCTGCTGTTATTGTAATTTAATGCACTCAATAGTTCTAATACTGCCTTTCTTCATCACTATAACATCCAGTGGAAGTACTACTCAATATTTTAAATTGTCATCCTTCAGGGGACTATTGATCATTTGTGCAGTCATTGTTCTAAGGGTTTTTCGTATATCAGTAGAATCACTCGCATCAACATGCACATATCAATTATTTTTTGTCATAATACCAATCAAATCTCATCTTCTTGGGATGTTGTCATTATCAAAACCTCATCAAATCGTTGCAAATACCCCACAAAAATCTATTCATTTATCATTTGTGTTTATTTCAGTGAAAGGGGTCATCGATAACATTTCATCAAATTTCATTTTCTTTCAACGTTTGTCATTATTAAAACCCACTAAACATTGTGTATACTCCACAACAACTTATCCATTAATCAATTAGTCAATTTTTAGGTTAATTGGTATTATTGAATGTTCTTATTAGCGTTTAACTTTACAATCCTTAATTAAATTAAATTACGTTTAGGTACACGTAATTAAGGGAGATCTCTGGTTTGTCAGCATTAACTAAGCATTGTTGTGTACATGTATATATTGTCCTGTCATATTTTCATTTTTTATCATAGCTTGATATTGACCAGAGAAGCCTAGTCGAAATGTCGCTCAGTAAAAAGCAGTAATTGTATTCCATAGAATTGTGACCTGTATACTCTAGTTCAATTACTAAATGCCATTGAAACAGTTTACCTTCAAATTAGCTGACAATGGCCTTATATTATCATTCACCGAACCACCCCGGCTACTACTTAGTATTGTATTACTACCGAAGACCACACTAGATAACAATTTATGCAGTTACATTTCGGTTTGGCATCAATTTCTTGCGAACACTGCATTTTGTCGCACTTTCCCCTCAGACTTGCAAACATTGTTAAAACTGTGATTGCTCATTTATAGTCTATATTTGTTACTGCAGATTTTAAAAGGAACTGACACATTTTTTCCCATATAAAGTATTGAATTGGGCTGATATGGTATGTTAATTCTATTAGATGGGACCAGTTCCATAGCATTGGATGTTTGCGTCAGACCATTGAGCGAAAATCGGCTTGTTTACTATCGTGCTATCCTAGAGATAGCACAGCCATAGGATGTTACTGCTGTGCGACTAAGGATCTCCTCCCACCACCCGAACAGAAAAAAAGAATGATATTCATAATGGATTCTTCAAGAGAAAATTGAACCATAAAATAGTGTTTTCAACAGGATCTGATGTGATCGGATACATCCGATTATTTTTACAATATTATGGGATTGAGAGCATAAATAATCAAATACAATGAACTTAACTCTACCACTGTTAAGACCTTCCTTGTTTGACGTAAGAAATGTTGAAAATTAAGAAATATGACACATAGATTGACGTGGGCTATATCTTATTATACAGGTCTATATAAATGGGAACCAAATCTAATGTTCACACTAAGCGGAATAAATGAAAGCTATTAACAAAGAACATGTTTTGTGGATTTAACGCATCATCGACATATTATTATTATTGTTAACTTAATAGTGATTATTTTTGAGGTGTAAACATAAACTTGTCTAGATATCTATGCAACCGCTTGTTGCATATACACACCTTTATTTATACCTAACATCTCACGTGAGGTGGTCCACCGTGAGCTATTTATGCTCATTGAAGCAAATCAACAAATAATAAAGGAAAAGATTTGTCAGTTTTCTGTTATATATATTTGTGAACTTGGCCTAGAAACAGGTGATTGGTGTTGAGGGGAGACGGTAAGTAATTATTAGCATTTATTAGTTAACCAAATATATATAAAATTACACGTAATATTAACATGAAAAATAAAGCCAATATAAAAACTATATCTCAAGACCAGTGAGAAGGGGGTAAGTAATTATTTGTGAGATATTTAGCATTTAGATGTAGATGTATTAGCAAAATCGTAAGGTTTGAATTTTTCGAGGAATAAAGTATAGCGGACCAGTGTGTGGGTGGGTGTGTAGGGGCGGAGTTTTTTTTTACAGATAACTGTAATTCATGACGATAGGGACGTGTCTGCTATGCGTAGGGTTGTACATAAGAATATCCAGAGTTGAACCAGGCTGATCTAATAGCACGAATTCTGTGTGAAGAATGGGCATACATGTTTAACAATATCATTGAAATGAGTTTGACTTTTCAGTTTTACAAGTAAATCAAAACAAAATTATATCTTTATTCGTTTCGGCTATATATAATTAGGTGTCTGATTTTCTACGCCGGTATAAGTAAAATTTAGAGCGATAATATATTATTATAAAACACGAAATACACGAAAAACGAATTTTGATCGGAACACTCGAAATATATAAATAAATGCGTTTGATAAAAACACCAAATAATAACTAAACATTATAATTTATTGAAATATGGAAAGTGTAAGTAATTGTTATCATAATTATTAAAATGTCAATTCAACTTCGATAATGTCAGCATGGCTAACCGGATAATCTTTTTAACGAAGAAGGCGTTTTTCACAAACAAATCAACTCATAAAATTTGATTAACTCGACATTTAAATGTCCCTTGAAGTGATTACAACTGAATGTAGTGTGTGGTTTACCCTAATTGTCAATTGACAAGGTGTTTTAATTACATGTATTTGTTATCCGACAATGGATTGTTAACTTCCAGATTCCTGCTGACGTTTCGTTTTTGAATTGATATTTCATTTCAATCATATTTTTTCAGACAACTATTATGTATAGTCTGCATTATACACTCACGGTATTAGTACCATTGGTAACTGTTGTCCAGGGATGGCCTGCGTTAGCGCAAGATCCATTAATACCAGTACGAGTACGTCCTTCACCTAACAATCCAATACAGACATTGTGTGATGGAGAACAATGCAAGAAGATTAGAACCTCAAAAATACTTAGATATTACGACGGATTGTTTCACACAGAGCAAGAAATCAACGTTAAATTAAGAGAATGGGACAAGTTACATCTTCAAAAGTATGAAAAAACATTTTTATCTGCAGTCTGCCGGCTCCAGTCGTTTAAATCGTAAGTACTTATATAAGCCGAGCTATCCTTCTTTCATTTTCCATGTTACTTTTAAATTTTGAAATAATCAAACTTAAACATACATTATGCAAAAGCTAAATCTGTATATTGCAGGTCTTTCTTTAGGCCTGAAATGTTATCTAAATTATTAATTAGACATTGATTAACCTATCCTGACCACAATCAACTACAGGTGGCATCGCTAGCCTGCGAGCTTGAGTGGATTATGGGCTGATTTACTGCATAACTTTCCTTCACGATTTAACGATTAAATGGATAATCGAGACTATGCTGTTTATCGTACTGACTTTAGTAATGATGATCGAGGCTAGGCGAAAACTTCAATCGCTTAGTTCTCGGTTCATAGTGGATCAATTTGAATATATTTTTCAGCAAATTGCCTTTACATTATCTAGTTTTTAACTCTTATAGTAAGAACTGCCAACTCGTTATCGAATCTCCCATAATGTATCTTTAAGGTATTTATATATGAATGAAAATTTAAGAGATTACACATATCTTTTTAAAATGGAAGCATTATCTACTTTTAAAATACATTATTCCCAATTTTATTTTTTTTAAAAAAATCATTAGAATCAATTGTAGTCGGTTATTTTCTTTAACAGGATCAAAATATGTCGAAATCTTCAGAAACCGAATAGTGATTATGATATGTGTTGCCCTACGTAAGTAATATATTATATTATATTATATTAAAAAGTATACATATATTTATCTTGTGTACAAAGGTCACCTTACGGGCTTCAATAAATGTTTTGTTCTGTGGCTTAAAGTAGATCAAAATTATTTAAATGTAAAAAGGAAATGTCAAAGAAAGTTAATTTGCAAACCTACCATGCATGCTGTCTATTTATCTCCTCAAACCGAAAAGTTATCCCTAAGACGTTAATATAAAATGTTGCCGGTTATCAAGTACATATTTCATGAGAGGGGGGGACTCGGTGTTCTCTACGACAGCTTATAATAACAGATTACCACCCTATGAAATAACAAACACGAATTAAAAAGTAATGTATATAGACATGCGTAATATTTGCTAAATTGGAATACTGGAGAATGAATAACTATTGCGAAAGTTGGACCGTTCAAAATAATTCCGTTCAGTATTTACAAATATTCTGAATTTAATATTTGTCAACATTCGGCAGCATACCGACGATATAAAAGAAACCAAACGGTATGAAAGTCGGTAACACGAACTTTGCCTTAGTGCTATCGAGTGTTTGGATAATATGTATACTTTGAGATGTGCCATTACAGTACGAATGGTAGTAGTTGGCTTCCATAGTTTATTGTACACAATAGGCTCAATTTATGAGAAGAATCAAAGCAAATATAAAATGAAATGACTGGGATAATAAAGACGGGAATATGAGGGAAATTTTACCCGGACAGCGGTACTACCTGCGTTTTAACGTCCACTCGACACAAACTAGGTCATTTCGGGACTAACATATGGTTTATTTTTATTTCAATAATTCGCTTGCGCATAGTGGTCTTTAGCAGTGGGAGGAAACCGGACGACCCGGTGAAAATGAAACATAGCGGTTTTAGTGATGTATTTAGATTTTAATAGCTGAAACGTATTAGTTATAGTGATGCATTTAGATTTAAATAACTCAAACATAGTGGTTTTATTTAGATTTAAATAGCTGAAACATAATGGTTTTAGTGATGTATTTAGATTTAAATAGCTGAAACATGTTGGTTTTAGTGGTATATTTGATGCCCCCCCCCCACCATTCGACAAACCATATTTTTGAAAACCTACAAAAACGACGGATGTAAATTGTAATACGATTTCTTGATCAGATCTCGGTGTATGGATAAAACTGTCCAATTCCCACCAATGGAAGCTTTCTAAACCAAAATCTTTTTTTCTTTTTTTTTCCAGGGTTCGTTATTTCCATAAAAATGAAACTTTGGTAAACATAAATAATGAATTGAAAGTTCTTGTTAAATTATCTGATCCTGATAGATTTCAATTTATTCCTCATGCTAAGTGTCTGTAAGTATACCTGTTATGTTTTGTTAAAGAAGTTGCACAATTATAAACATAGATTGCTTTGTATCTAAACTCCTCGGTAACAATTTATATCAGAGATTCTAGAAAGATTAAGCATAGCCATCATTAGTAAGGCGGTGATTTTGATCTGGATTGATTCCGCATGTATGTTGCACCCCTATGGTGTACATTCCTTTTTACATTAGACGTGTTCTTGAAATCGTAGACTGATAATATTGATATGTCTTTCAAATAATAACCAATCACTGATAGTTCTGATTATCACTGGTGGCATAGATTATTTTTTTATAAACAATATTTTGTTTAGGCTATCTGAATGGGATTGGGAAACAGGTTCAGTTTATGTAAAAAAAAACGCTCCCTGTGGTAAAGATGTGTCTTTGAAATCATAGACTAGCCTACGACTGATAGTACACGTGTTCATGGACTAGCTTAGCAGATGGACACCCAGTAATGATTAAATCCAGTCTTTTATCAGCTCCTAATCGATATCAATTTGCAAATAATTTGTTTTGGACGTATTAAAAAATAGAATGTTTCGTATAATACTGTTATACTGCTCATTTCGGTATATTTTACTAAGACAAATAGTATAATGTAATAGTGAAATTTCTGTTGTTGTTTTTTTTTTCAGGAGAACAGGGGCATGTTCTGGTGGATTTGGGCGATGCGAAACAGATACTATAGAAATTCTAATATTAGTTGTCGATTTTGGAAGTTCCCTATATTGTACATTTGAAAAGTTTGCAATCCCAGCTTACTGTTCTTGTAAATCCATTTAATATAAGTCTCTTGTCGTTATTTTGGGGATTTTTACTCTCTTGCCAATTATTGATACAAAATCGTGTATAAAATTCTACAAAATGTTCGGTAAGAAAGAGGTTTTGTTTTCGAAAGCCGTTTTTTTTTCTTTTTTTTTGTGGATTTCAATCACTCTAGATAGTCAAAACTGTGTATGGTGGAAACATTCTGCCATCGTAGATTTTATTGGCCTCCGTGCAACTATTTATTAAATATAAATTGGGTTAGTTTTTATAGTTTTAAATTGCCCACATCTCGTTTATTTCTGGTCGACTCTTCGATGGGTTTTCTATTTTGGATTGTTTGGACAAATCCCATTGGGGATCTCACAGACGTTTTTTTTGAAATTCGCAATTTTCTACGCTTAGATTTAGAATCAAGATTCTCACAAATTTTCTTCGGCGTTTTTGCGACATTCAAGATGGCGTATCTCCGTCACTATTTGAGATATCGGTTTGAAACTTGGTAGGAATAAGGAACACATCGATGCCCTCAGAATGGCATATATAAAAAGACTTGTGATGGCTTCCGTAAACTTCCGAAAACTACCGAGGCCTTCCGATTGTTCCCGACCATGAACAGTTCTCTCCATTTTAAAAATATAATTTATAAAGAGATCAATGAATTCAAAATGGCATATAAAATTAGGATGATTTGTATACATGTACTTAATAACCATGGGGTTTATTTTACAAAGTTCTTTTATACTAATACAGTAACATCTAACAGACCTGTTAGCTATTTTGCGTTCTGGAAGGTATTCAATCAGAATGAACTGCCTCGGAGAAACACTGTACTCGCAAAGAATGACAAAAATTGAAGATTAAGTAGATGATTTAAGAAGATTATGTCGTCAAAAATAGCGCAGGCGGAAAATGGGGGAATCCAAGTCCAAGCATCATACATTTCAGCTCATTTCATTTCATAGTTAATTTGTTCACAGAGCCGTCAAACGGTGTCAATATCTTGCATAGCCTCCTCTTCATTGCCTGGATGAGACTGATCTGAGCTTGTGTTAGTCCGTTCCATTCCTTGTATAGTGCCTGATCCAAATGGATATGATTCTGCACGGGCAATCCTCTGGCGGATATTACATCAAAGATTATCTCAGATATGCTGGATGGATTCATACCATTGCTAGTGTAACAACGGACTCCCAACGCAAAAACCTAACAATGGCGCGATCTGGCGTTGTCGTTTATAAAGATTGGCCAAATGAGAATAGGGTGGTTGTCAAAGTCGAGTAGTACATCACTGTCCAGGATCTCTCTCTCTCTCTCTCTCTCTCGCTCTCTCTGGTGTCGCAGGCCATAGAGTATTACCTCTGACTGTTACCAGTGGAAGCTTTCGGTCATGTGAAAACCAAACCAATATCATGACAGAGCCCCTGCCGAATGGAACATGGTATAGGATGTTCATGGTCCTCTGTGCATATACCATGTTCCTACGTCGCTATACCTTTGGTCTGGGGGGTTGGATGGCTGAATGGTTAGCGTGCGCGCGCTGTATCATACAGTCTGTCATTGAGTCGACTGGCGTGGTTTCGAATCCCCGGTTGTACGTGGCAAGGAGTAGGGGCGCCTGTCCAACCTCGTGGGTTTTCTCCGGGTCCTCCGGTTTCCTCCCACAGCTAAAGACCCCTACGCGCAAGCGAATTATGGAAATAAAATTAAACCATATGTTAGTCCCGAAATGACCTAGTTTGTGTCGAGTGGACGTTAAACCCCATTTCTCTCTCTCTCTATACCTTTGGTCTAACATTCGTCATGAACAAGAGAAAGTCACTGGCACTATCAGTGAATTCTTATGCTTCACTATGACACTATGTTTCAATGATTGCGTGCTTGGACCCATTCTAGTCTTATGGTGAATAGACAAGAGACTTAGTCTGGTGGTTAGATCTATTTCACATGCACACCTGCAGATTTCGTCATAGGTCACGAAATGTAAACCAAGACCTAGTCGTAAGCATTACCTTAACCCTAACCCACAATCATCGGCAACAATCACGTGTCGAAACCCTGTGTACATATCGTGACCTGTGACAAAATCTTCAGGTGTGCATGTGAAATAGATAGATTTAGCCTCGTCTGATAGGTATTATAGTGTCATATCCAACGGATTTGAGACGACTACGAAAAGTTCTGTAAGATATCGGCAGTAACCATTCCCTTTTCAACATAGTGCTTGGTGCATATACACATATCCATGTAACTATAAAATCTTCAAGTTGTATATTTAATATTATAAAAATACCTTCATTATTAACATTAAAGATGCATTATGTAAGATTTAGATAAAGAGTTTGTTGATCTTGCTGTAACAAAAATTATGAAAAGTGAATATATTACAAATTTTCTTTATACGGAGCGATGTTATGAATGTTTTAAGTTTTAACAAAAAATAGCGTAAATAGTTTCAATTGTCAAGTACCATTGCAATAATAATTAAATCTCGATATTCCATTTTGTCGTCGCCCCTGTCCGTCCGTCCACAATTGTTTGTGAACAGTCTACGGGTCACAATTTTTATCCGATTTCAATGAAACTTGAAATATAGGTTTATCACCCTAAGATCTCGGTTCCTTTCGATATTGGCATGTATCGGACTGTAACTTCATGGATTATGGCCCCTGAATGTACGAAAAATCACGTTTTTAGCTTGTGAACACTGTAGAAGTCACAATTTTTATCGGATTTAGTTTAAACTTGAAATGTATGCTTATAACCCAAAGATCTCGGTTCCTTTCGATATTTGCGCATATCGAATTGTAATTTCCTGAAAAATCACTTTCTTTTCAGCTTGTTCTCTATCCATCTCTCGAAAATGTGGGCGTATCCTGGTATGCTGGTAACATTATACGAAGATGTGGCATGCATTGTCTATTCCGCTTAATATCTCAGGCATCCGATTTCTATATAATTGATTATGGATTGCCATGTGAATAAGTGTCTGAATTATTGTTTATGACATTTGAAGCCAAAATAAAGACCCGCAATGTGCAGATTTAGATCTTACATAAGGTATCTTTAATGGTTCGCCAATCACCTTTATTTATCTACCAGAATATATAAATGTTTTGATTTTATAGTATATTTGTTAAAATATTAATGTTATTATAATTGATAAAATGAGTTCATTAATCTAATAGCCATTAAATGCTGTTGATTCAAAAAGTAAATTGTAAACACATCATATTTACATCGTTTCCCATCATATTGCATATATTATTGAAACACCCATCATTTATAATAAAAATTATATTTCAGAAGCAAACAGAATGCATAGCTGATAGCTTGAAATGATGGCAATGCTACTACATTAACAGAAAACAATTTATACAGGAAGAATCACTAAGTACTGGGTTTATTCTAAAAGCACGACGTTTCAACACGTATCCTCTTATTGTTATCAAGCACATCGTCATACTTTTAGCATAAAATCAGTGATTGTTTCCGATATTCATTGTGTTCTGTTAATGTGTTTCCCAACCGCTTAATGCCACCCAAAAATTAGGTTTATTACAGGTTGATTTAAATAAAATAAACAATTCATACTCCCATACGGGTTTTTTTTCTGGTCTTCTTGATTTGGGCGGTGCAGGAGACTGTACTTGATTCAGAATCTCATATTTCTGTGTTAGTGTATAAATATAATCATTAATATCACTTTGTTGAGAATTTGTCACAATTGTCCTATCAAAGTTTATATTGTTGCTGTGTCCAAACAAAACGTATTTATTTCTTAATAAAAGTTAATATTTATGCAAATCTTGGTATTGGGGGCTCTGTAATTTTATAAATATCATAAACGTGGCAGATAAACAATATGTAACTTTTTCTATTATTCTAATTCTAATGCGAAAAGTTCACAAAGGAGATAATATTTGTCAATATTAAAGATAATATTTGTTTATAAATATGTTGTCGTGAATTGACAACGAATTTCAGGCACGCTGTGTCATATGTTAACGCCAGTAAGGCGACCTCGTTAATACATTTATTAAAATCATGAACTAAAATAGTTTTCACCCTAGTAAAATATCCTTATCGATCACCGGAAATCCTTTAGAACACCTGTCAGTTGAGCTGCGAAAGTGCGAGGCTGACGAATTTATGTGAAGAAATTCAAAAGATATATGATAATTTTATCTGAAGGAAAATTAAATGTATTCCTGTGGGATCAAGTGCACATAAATATATCAGTTCAATAACACCGCACAAAGGTCCCAAAAAGTCATTTTAAAAAGTCATGTTTCAGAATAAACCGAATAGCAAAATATATATATTTCGCACCCAGCCATTTGAACCTTTATTCCATCTATTGTATCGAATAATTTTATCGACAGATTAGTAGAAACTCTCAGTCTAGTACGGTAGTACGATCAGGCCCTAAGTTCACAAAGAATTCTCAGACTTAAATTAAGAATGTACTCAACTGTTTATGAGAAATATCTTAGATCCAGAAACACAAAACTTTGGCACATAGTTTCTTATTGGTGTATTTAATACATTAAAACAACAAAAGCTCTATAAAGGGCTATATTTCAGTTAAAATAAGGCGAGCAATTTTTGAGTAAATTCTTAACTGAAGTCTGAGAATGCTTTGTGAACTCGAGGCCAGGAATCTCCAGATTCTACGCTAATGTATATAATATGTACATATCGATGTTTTAGCGGCAATTGGCCTTCCTGAGTATTTAGTCATTCATACATACATTTGAACAATGGGATTGATAACTGAGTTGAGTAACCCTGTTAAAGAAACCTTGAAATGATACCCGAACACCCCAATGTTTCAGACAAGTAAATTTTGCTGCTTTTTGTTCATATTTTTAAATTCTTATTCAAGCCACTTGTATCAATGGTTGCCCAGTAAAAGAAAAATTACTGCGGAGAAAGATTCACGAGTGTGTAAAATATTAGTGTTTTGATGTACATATCCTTTACCTGAGAGATCGACATGAATGGAATTCTATTTGATTGGTCGACAAATACTTTAACCAGTATAAAAGATTATTGAACGATATAATATTTTTTTTAATCCAAAAATACCAGCGGTATATTGTTGTGTATATTAGAGACTGTTGGGATATTTATGTGTATGCAAATCTTTAAACGGATATATAAATAAAAGAGAGTCCCCATATTATATTACCCCATTTACCGGACAGACGTACCGAGCAAATAATATTGAGTGATATTTCTTTTACTTTTAGAAGGTTTAAAACTCCTGGCGAAAATGGTAAGTAATAAACACATTAGGAAAGTTTGATCATAAATGATTTTAACACAAGCGATTGTTAATAAGTCTAATAAAGAACTTATAATATGATATTTATAATATTAAATTATAAAGACAATAAATAAGCCTATATGTAAGTTATAATATGGTATTTATACGATTATGAGTTACAACGGCAATGGGTCCATATGTAGGATGGAATACTGAAAAGTACGTCCCTATGTGAGTCAATGTGGCAAATCTCCATAAAATCTTAGATAATGTTAACTTTTAAAAAAAAACGACTTACTATAACGAACGTTATTTTTAGTTACCAATTAATTTAAAAGAATATACAGAAATAATTAATAGATGGCCATAATATGTTATGTTTTAATCCAATGCAAAGACCAGACATGCTTCGTTTTTATCAATTTATAATCATATTGCTAGTTAAGATATATTTCATTTGGGCTCAAAGCTCAAGGTTGTATTTTGTTAGAGGTAGGTGGGGTGGGGGCTAGTGTTCTTGAAGGGAATTTGGTATTTGAAATCTACTTAGATACACATGTAACCTATTTTGTGTTACAATTTCGGCCTAAATTAAGCAGATTCCTACATTTTATAATAAGTTTGCTTTATTAAAAGTATATTTCAACATCATGGTATAAACAATGTAGTGTAGTGCAGCCGCGCAACAATACAAACAGTCATCGGGAATAGGCTAGGGTTACACACACTCGTGGTGGAAATTTGGATACAATAGCATGTTCAGAATAAAGGAACTGTTCAGTGTGCACATTTCGTGTGACCTACATGGATTATACTCGGGTTCCTTATTCGGTATTTTCCAACTTCCATAGACACGATCTAGAGCTACATAACTCAGGCAACTCAAAATTTTGAGTCACCTCATTGGTTCTGACACCGTTCAAGATTATCCGGTCTAGATTCTAAGGCGTTCGGTTTGTTATCTAATCTTTAAAAATTAACATTCAGGGTGTCAAGCCCCTTTAAAATGTTATCCTCAATCAAAAAAATACTTTAGCATGGCTGCTTGGTCTCTTGCGGGACTAAGATTAGTACGGCCTCTATTTGTCAAAAATCTCCCAATTCTCCTCTTTTACGTGGCAATTTTTGTTGATTTTTTGGTCTAGATTCGACGAGAGTGTTTTAATTGACATTTTCCTCATTTTCAGGCTGAATTATTAGGAAGTTAACAAACAATAATTGGAGCGATATCCTAGAAAAACAATATATTCCTTTGAACAGGTCTAGCAAATTATCGGAATGGTTACTCTCCTTTAATATTTTTATCAGATGATTGTAACATGCCAGGCTCATTGTGGTTATAAAGATTAAAATCATCAGAATGTCAAAAAAAAAATAATTGGTCAAGAAATGGCAAGGATTTAACATTGAAGCCCGTGGAGAGAGAATTACTGGTCTTGGGACCATATGGATTAGTAATTACTTATAGCCATTCTCTGTTTCTCTCGCTTTCTACTTTTGTATGGTAATTTGGTTGATGTTTTATGTATATAATCGAAAAGGCGTGTTTGCATTTACATTTTCTGCCATGTTTTGGTTTATATTTTTGCTTTTGCGGCTGGTTGATCAGGAAGTAAATCGACATGAACAATGCGAACAATAACGGATTTACCTATATGTATATTATGTTTGGCAGGCTGAGGCGTAGGGCTTCAAGATGTAAGCCTTTCTGCTTTGTTCAGTTACGTGCAAACCACGCTTTCATATTCCGCTAGTTGTGACGATGGAAGGCTGGGACATAAGACTGGGTCTGGGTCCATACTGTTGGCACGAGGCCACTTATATGATTACTAGAGTTATTCCTCATGACTATGTATGTGATTGTACTGGCAATACGATTTTGTCTTTATTTATTCTTTTGGTTATTAAGTTTTATTACTTTTCAGATGACATATAAAAGCAATTTATTTTTTACTGTATCAGTATTGTTAGCATTGGTCGCTTTTGTCCCAGGACCGCTTACTTTAGCTGTAGAAGAAATACTGTGTGATGATAAAAGATGCTTGACAGTTAACTCTTCGCTGATTAATAAAACCTACTATGGTTTATTTCATACAGAAGAAGAAATTGACATCATACTAAGAAGATGGGGATTAAAACATGAAATTTATCGCCCATCTCCTGGATCACTCGTGTATAAAGTTTGTTCTATTCCTTTGTTCAGTTCGTAAGTATTAGTTTCCATGACATAACTGTTAAGTTAGTTATCTTTATTCTAATAAATTTACTTCAATATATATAATTTCTTATTTACTTCTATTGAATTCGTCATTTGCATATGCAAAAATACTGATTTATATCTGATCGTGTTTTAAATCTCCATTGTTACCTATGTTATATTGTTAATTGTTATATATTTTTTTATATTGTTGTAACTTGTCTGTTCAGTTTCTTAAACATTTTACAAGACGCGGTGAAAACGACAAAATCCTAATTCTCATTGTGACACGTGGCGCTATGAATCAACTATGAATTAACAACGGAAATGCGACTCCCTGACTCAATTAGTCTCTGTTATGCCTGACGTTCACATGGGCTACGAAAACACGAATCGCTAGGAATACTACCGAATCATGACAAATCGGCAAAACATTTTAAAAATTCGTGGAGAATCGGGAGTAGCTACGAAGCAGTTCCGAATAGTGTACGAAAAAGTTAAGATAATTCGTGGGTAATCGGGTAAAAAATATGTCGAATGGAAAGATAACGTTACGATAAAGGTACAACATGAAAGAATCGTCTACGATTTGTAACGATTCAATTTAGACCAATCAAGAATCAACTAGGAATTGTGCCGATGACGGGTTCGGCAGCGGTCAGTGGCGTTTTATAGCGTTTAGGGACCCAAGAATATATCAAATTTTCACGGATAGTGCCGAAGATCGTAAACGTTTCGTAGGCCTATTGACATCATTCGTGGATATCAAAGTGTATTCGTTAACAATTCGGCATAATAAACGGAACTAACAAAATGTGCTATGAGGGAGGTGAAATTTTGCCCGGACAGCGGCACTATGGCCTATTCTAAATTAAAATTCCAAAGCTTAAATATTGCTTTCTTTTAGATACCTTTTATTACCCAACAGACAATTATTAATCACTTGACTCATTTCTGAGTTGTCGAAAATGAAACTGTGGGTCTTTTTTGTTGAATGTACTTTTTATCGCCTAAACATTTAGTTTATGGAAAATTGTTCACTTTATTGGTATCGATGTGCTCATTCTGTCGTCGGGTTTAACGACATATTCCACCTAGGGTGATACATAACTGATCGTCTTATATGGTAATATCAAAACTCGACCGCGCAATATAGCCCAACTAGAGCTGACATGTTATAAAACAACATTTCATTCTAATCTGGACCGCTGAGGAGATAACATACAGGAAAGAAAGGGATGATTCATATTAACGATTTTAACGAGTTGGGCCTAACAACACCCCTTGGCCTAGCGCGTCGATACAATTACATTTCAACGAGCCTGGGCTTCAACAAATGGCCCCTTCCAAAGTTACCGATTTCTGTTTACTTCTGGGAGATCGCTTTTCGGACCAACTCATTTTTTGTTAAAGTCAACTTCAACTCGTCACAGAGTAAAACACTCTCCATAACCAAGAGAGATGAAACCACGGGGTCTTTGATTCGTGTCTCACAAATAGATTAAATCGAACATCTCATGTCTATATATCTTGTATAGATCACGTTTGTGTCGCGGCTGCGCTTTATAGGCTTGTTCTGAAAAATTGTGATCGTTCTTTCGCCTTCAGTTTAGTGATTAACCAGTAGATATTCCCGCGTGGGTGATTTACAATCCATTTAGCGTTGAAAGGCTCAATGGATCTAAATCTGTAAGTGTTGAGGTCCAAAATGAAATTTTCCCATTCAGGGCGAATGTGGCATCCGACCATACTTTTAAATTCTGCCACGGGCTCTTCTTATACTACGTTTACCAGTCTGGACGGGACTGGACGGGACGATTGTCCAGCTTCTGGTTTCTAATGAATTCCAAGCTACTTAGGATATCCACAATACGGCATCTTTGTCATTCTTTGATCGCAAACATTTCTGATGTGTATGCAGGGCACATTTTTGACAGTCTATGTGCTGACTGTACCTCTTTCCCCGGGATATAGATCCCGAAGCACGTCTTACCGTTCTGAGATCATTCCGTGTACATGAGATCAATATACGATGAAGGGCGTCTTCAAATATGTTATTGATGAAATTGATCACTATAATCACTATTATTTGGACCAAGTGATATGGATTCAAAGCTTACAGGCAGCGTGTCTTTTATTTTTGATTTGTCTCGGCGTGAAAGAGCGCATGATGACGAAAAGTTATATTCCTGCTCTTGCGGGATAAACAAAAAAGACACCCTTTCTTTATACTGGACCCTGTCCCGCAAAATATTTGGTAAACCTGCACTTACAATGTAATTTATCGTTTCTTTTATAGCATGACATCCTGTTCGAAATTCGGAATTCCACCAAAAAGTTCACCTGCGGGAAGTTTAGATTATGATTTGTGTTGTCCAATGTAAGTACGTGAAGTTAGAATTAGTTATGACACAGAAGTTATACAGTCGATGAAGTTCAATGAATGTATTTCGGTATATTATTTTTTTATATAATATAGCCTTAGTATATAAGAACATGAGATATGTCGTATATTCCAAAGAGCTGCACATCAGTTAATTCATTCTGAGTGAAACCTTTAATATTACAGGTCGGAAACTGAATAGCGCAGTGGACGCTTACGATTGGCCCCTGTATCCATTAACTTTGATATTTGCTGTTTATTTCCGGGAATGTCTGTGTAGTTTGTGTCTTGTCCACAGGTTTGTCTTATCGGTTTTGTATGTGTGTATACATGTAATACTATTATATAAATAAAAACCATTTACCAAACATTATTTCCAGGTCTTTGGGTCACTATGGAAATCAGACTTTAGTTAATATACACGGAAAACTCCAAACACTTGTATTCCTCGAAAAGTCCAACATGAAACAGTTTATTCCCATTGCCGAATGTCTGTAAGTATACATTTTATAGTAACATTATAACTTGTGAAAGAACGATCATATTTGAATTTAATTCATAGGAATAAAAAATGGTAATTAAAGGCCTGCTTATATTTTGTTGATTTTTAGTGGGGGGGGGGGTCCTTAAGAAGAAGATTATTCATGATACATAATTCAATGAAGTTTTCTCTTTTGTTTTCATAATTCTGAACATTCGCAACCTTATGTGCAATAAGGGGGATTTTTCCTGGATAGCGGCATGTCTGCATACTATTCATCGAATTTCTACTGTCAACAGTTCTTTTATGTGTACGTCAACAATTACACGGATTTGCCTGTGCAGTTTTTCGTATTTTCAGTACTGAAGTTAAATTAGTACATAATGATCATAATATAAGTAGAATACTTTGCCATTATAATGTTTACCCTGATGTCGGATTCCTGGCACGAAATACAATGTCGGAAACAAGGGGTAATCTCAGACCCAAACAATAGGGAGGATTTTGTATACATAATTTTATCCAATACGATCAAACTATAGCTTTATGTATAAAGTTTGATATAATAATTAATCAAATTAAAGAAAACTATTTCAAGGAATAATATTGAAGGTATGAAGTATACAATATTTTGATACCAGCATCGAAATCTGCAAATCACTTTTGTCATTTTATCGGGTTTGGTAGAGTCCCTAGATTTGTTTACAGATCTAGCATAATAGAATAATATTATCAACACAATATTATCAGTAAGAAGCGTCAAAATGTGAGATTGAACCGAACAGTTTAGGCACTGATAACCACCCATCTAATAAATGTTTGAAGGGAGTCCATAAAGGCCCGGGCCCAATGTAATAATTTTAGTTTCTTGTCAAATAGTGAGTGTTGTCACTGCCTCACTTCCGTTCTAATTGCCGTGTTCCTTTCAAAGTTAAGTAGCTGCTGATGTACAATTATGAACATTTTCCAAAGATAGAGTCGTTGAGTCATGAACTACTACTTGCATCCGCACAAAATTCCAATTTTGATGGCTGACGAATAGGATATATTCACGCTATAACAAACAGACAGGGATTTTCATATTAATGGAACGTCATCTAAGCAATTAAAGACCACTTCAGAAAATGTCCAGGTTCTTGGGGGTCAACAAGTTTGTCTCTAAAAGCTTCGAAAAGGATTATTATATTAACTTTACAAAGACATATTAGAAAGCAAGACAGCAACATATATAATACATGATAAATGAAATGAAATGAATTGGGGTTTAATGTCTACTGTTCTGTGTACACGGGACTTCATATTTTCGTTCCACTCGAATTAATATATACGTTGTTTGTGGCCAGGCAGTTTGTCCTGCACCACTGATAAGGAGAAACCATAACAAAAAATTACATAATAAAACAAGATAACAAAGAGCATACTAATGAAAATGATATTTAGATAACATTACATATAATTATAAATTAGTTTTATAAGTAGCAATAGCTATGAAATTACGAATTTATTCCATAACAATGGTGCTTATACATAGAATGGTGATAAATTATAAGAACGATGTATTAGTAATCATGTTTCAGTAGAGGATCGCAGATTTGTTGTGGGTTTATAGGGATACATTATGTTCTGCTCTATAACCGGTTGATGACGTGGGTTGTGGATATAAAGTTAAATACAATATTCAAGAACTGAACACTGCCACTTCCCATTGGACCCCGATTCGGTGCAGCCAGATTTCATTTGAAACTACATTTAGCTATTATTGTAAATATATCTGCATTCAGATATTTCTTATCAAAACTAATTATTTACTTATATAATTATTAAGAGTATCTTATATATCGGTACATTATATATAATTGTAAGTCCTCCTGGGCCTGTAGAGATACGAATTAACAATAAGGGAATATTTCATGATCGGCTATGTGCTACATGAAACGAATAGGAATAAATTATTATAAAATCAAAGAACACCATTTCTTCTAGAACTGGATGATCTTATAGTGTAATATCTGCAATGTTATAGCAATGGAAATATGCTTCATAATGCTTTACAAGTTAAAAATTCTGCTTCCTTTTTTTAGGGACGATGGTGCATGTTTTAGCGGATTAGGAATGTGTCAGACAGATACTGTTGTGTTTCCACTGTTGGTAGTCGATATACAACTTTGGCCGCCGTGTAGATTTGATGAATTTGAACTCCCTGTCTACTGTTCGTGCAAAACGAAAGAAAGAAATTAATCTAAAATGTACATAGATAACTGTCCGCAAGCTATGGAAATCCATCAGAAATAGGTTGTGGTTATATAGAATTTTCACCAGTAAAGCGGAAACAACACGATAGTTTTGCGGTGAATAATTAGATCTATGATTTTTTGGGTATTTGAATTGTTGATAGTTAATATTAAATAGTGTATACGTTTGGAAATACCTGTAAAGCGAAATAAGCTCTGGCAAAAGGAAATAACCTAAACTTAAGACAATCCATTAAAACGATATTACAAAAAATGAAACGAAATCCTCGGAAGCGAAATAAGAAAAATATGAGTTACTTAGAAATGAACTAACATATATTGTAAAACTAAATACATGATAATGCACACATATGAAGGTTCGACCGGGGAGAGGGTAGAAACTATTAACTTGGGAGCAGATTAACCATTTAAAATGAGGGCAAGGGCGCAATGGTCTACCGCGTGCTCTTTAGATCATAAGGTCTACCATCGATTCAAATGGTGTGGTTTCGATCCTAGGTATGGTCGCTTGCTTTACCTCATGGGTTTAATCCCGCCGCTAAAGACCAATACACACAAGTGAATTATTGATAGTAACATTGTACAGTGTTAGTCATGACTTATGAGGCAGAATGTTTGCACTCTCTAGAAAATATGCTACTACTTTGCTTATCAAACAAACATTTATCTGAAAATTCCACGTTATATTTATTTGGTATTTTGTATTCATCTCCCTGTTTACGCTTGTATATATAATTTTCGAACAATTAATTTTATCGATGCAATTTGCTAGTCTTTGTTTCGTAAATACCTCTGTTGAGTTTGTAATTTGCTGCTGGTTGTTTCATTCTTCACATTTATCACCTTTTCGTGGCCACTGTTATTTTGATTCTCTGAATAAAGTCTTGAAATCTTAATTAAAATCACTTTTGTTTTAAATTAGATTTTGAGTATTGTAGTAATTGCGTTATTCATCATATTTATTTGTGTGGCAGCATCTGAAGAACATCAACATGGATACTTACCTATTTTCCCTAAACACGTGCAATTAGTACTGCAATAAAACACCATTAACCAATGAATAACAGCGTCAGTCTAAAAGGCCATATTTTATCATTTTAGGCAATATAAATATATTTTAGACTGCTGACAAATAGAATATTTGAGACAAAAAAGTTGATTAAACGCATATTGGTTTAAGCATAATTAAAATCTATCAATCATGGAGATCTGATATTCACATCACTTAGGCCGGGATGGTACCTCATATATATCCAAGAACACTGGAATGGATTAATGTGTTTTAACATTCTACTTTTCTACACCATCCAGGCTAAAGGAAGATGGGGATAAGCCATTCAGTGTTTTGCTGGGGCAGCGGCGTTGCGACCAACTCTTATTTCGAATAGCAGCTGGTATACGGGGCCAAGTATTTTCGCGTATCCCGCACCACTGACTGGGGGACACCAAGCTGGAAAACAACAACTGGAAACTCGGCAAATACCAGAATATAGCCAAATAACTTAAATTTGAATATGCAAATTCGCTATAACTGCCATAAAATGCTAAGAAATCTAAACTAAAAAATAGTTGTATTACATACAATGATACATCAAAGGGCAAATGGGATGTCAAGATTCACTACACCTTTCATGTTCATTTGTTTTTAAGAAAATACAAACACCCACCGTCGACGATTCAACACCTTTAAGTAAATAATTAATGGATAACCGGGTTAGCAGATCAAAATGGTAGTCGTGTTAATCCCGTAAATTAACATCACTATTTTAAGCATAGGAATTTCGACTTTTATGCCAGAAATAGTGATATTTACTTTTAAGGAACGAACGTATGGGTGCGGCTGACATCACAAGTCCGTGTCACATCAATTTAAGAAGCCGTCGGAAGGTCGCGTCATCAAGGGAGATAAGCACAGATAGTCACTGTTGGCGGTGACAATTAAAATACAGTTTACTTTTTTACAAAATATTTAAATACCCAGAAAGCCTACGGATATTGCTTTTTGCTTGGGTTTTTTTTTCGGTTTTTTTCTTGTTTTTTTTTTGGGGGGGGGGGCTTTCTTTTGGAGGGGGGGGGGTAGTTTATTTCAATTTCGATTTATCATTGTCTTTTACATTAGAGAACTGTTAGTACAATATTCCACAATAACTATTCAGCGTACTTTTTGTCTGAAATTACATTTACACCTGGGCTATCATCTAACGTTTAAAACAAAATTAATAGTGTATGTATCATTCAGTATTACGCTGTAAACAATCAAACCCCTTCTAGTTTAATATTAGTCTTCAGAGCACGTCCATGAGGTGAACGTTCTGAACACATACAGCCCACCTAACCCATAATATAAACACACGAAGGTGGATAGTACACGTTTGGTCTATATATATTAAATGGTGTTCTTCAGTGTGACCTAGGCCATAGACAGACTAGACTCATTACGGTACCCATACCTAAAACACACGATGTTATGGGTGTACTAAGGTATTTGTGGCGCAGTTCTGCACAGTAAGTAAGTAATGTTCCTAACTTATTAATCAATTAGAACGCTTATTGCTTATTAGCAGAAGTTTATTTATTTTTGTCTATAACTTATAACTATGTTCACGATACGATAGGACAGTATTGTTTACGATACAGTAAAGAGAGGGGGAGAAAGAGAAATCTAGTTTAACATTCACACAACACAAACAAGGTCTACGAATGATTTTATTTCAATAATTCGCTTGTGCATAGGGATCCTTAGCAGCGGAAGGAAATCGGAGGACAAGGAGAAAACTATAGAGGTTGGGCAGCCCATCCTACTATTTATCACGAACAAGCAGAGAATCGAAACCACGCCACTTGGCTTATGATAAGGTGCCCAGCGCAGTCAAAATTTGCTTTATTAAAAGTTGAACTCACCATGGCGAATGTTCACGTTCAAATGATAAGCCCCCAGGCTACACTTACATTTACATTTATATAAGTGTAAGTCTTCGCTAAATTCACAATTACACTTAGTGTCACTTAGTAGGTAGCGATACAAACAAGGCCCACGATATCGATAGGCCTACATCACGGATAGATCGTTGAAGATGGGATTACTAAAGCACGCACTTTTTATCTCGGCCTCTTTTTATTTTGTCTACATGTTCTCATTTTTCACAGCATTATAGATGAATTCATTCACATAATATTATATCACATTTAGTGCTCTACAATTATTCTTAAGCATGCATGGTTTGCACCTTTTAAAATGATTATTGACATTGAAAATAACTCTCAGGTTGTCATACGGTTTACAGTGAACCAGAAAATGCAACTCATTTTCAATTTAAATATCAACAGTATCATCCGTTTGGGTTCAGTCGGATTAAAAGAAGCATATCAAAAAATGTTTCTCGAAGATTACAGGTGACACCGACTTTTAACCATGTCCCGTTTATATCCTCTGTAGAAAATTTGAATTGATCATATTTTTGCAATTACTGAATGGAAATGACCCATTTTTAGACTGGTATCGCTTTGGGGGACTGTGCTTTCGCCAGAATTTAAAGCTAACTCAACTGTATCAAATAATTCTACAGTTTCATTTTGCCTTAAAAATGAAACCCAAACTAAATGAAGAAAACTATTATTGTGGCGGGTACAGTCGTACGATGTGTCACCCGGTCTCCGCTCGACTAGACGGCGTAGAGATTATTCATTATGGCAGTAAACCTATGCAACATTTTGAATTATTATAACAATTTAACACAGAAAACATATTTCACTTGGTGTGCATTTGTAAATATGAATTTCACAAAGGATAGAAATTTAAAGGGTGTATTACTCTATTTTCGGAACCATAAAATTTAATTTTTTATTGTAAATTGTAATCAATATTGTTCGGTGAAATACGTGAATAGTCCAAACTGAAGAGCAGTCCTTTACTTCTGTTTAGTCCCTTCTAAGCGTTTTTTTATTACGATTTCATCGTTTGTGAATCAGCCATACTAATTACTTCTGCATTGTCTTGTAGCTTATGCTTCTCTTTGTTTATTACAAAGGTCACCCAAAACCATAAAATTCACGACTCGTGTACTGATTTTAACATGTTCATTATATCATGACAGGCTTTTAAAAGGTCCATGAAAACAATTATACCACTACGAGAAGGGTTAGATTGCTTTTATTAAGACAAGAGAAAGAAAGTTCAAGTTGAAAAGAAATGCTGTCTAGTCAGTGAAAATACTATATTGCATGTTCAGGGGGTAGGAAGGACTCCCATCCCTCATTGTCTCCTGTAGTTTTATGGGATGTGATACAGCGTCTGTATTCTACAGAAGAGTCATAAACACAGTACTGGAGGCATGGGCTTGCTGTGAAGAGGAGACACGTGCCTTTACCCACATACCACTCCTTCTTTAGACGTAACTAGAGTTTGGGGAATGGAAAGCTAAAGCAATACCCCACATATTACCTCTAGAAAAATACAAGCTATCGGAATTTGAAGTGTAACGTGGTATTTGGTTAGATATCCAAAAGATCTCGGACGTGATTAAATTAAATATTCACTGCGTTATTGACTCTGGCTTAATCAGAATACGTGTAAATTGTATTGACGACCCCTTTTTAAATGCCCCCTTCTTTCTTCGAAAGGCGCAATACAGTAATTGCTTAAACGTAACCATAATTCCCATATTTAAACGAACGAGTCGTGTTTCATCACTTAAAGGGCACATAAGATGGGCGAGAAAACTTTTCGGTACGTATTGCCAATGGTTACTATTTCCACTTTACGGCAAGCTCACACCAATCTGATTAAAATTAATTCAGCTATCTTCACGCAAAGTCGAAAAAAGAGACCTCCCGTAAAAACGACTTTGCCAATCGAAAACACCCCTAATCCACTCAGACGTCATTGACGTCGCAGTGACCGAATCCCTATTCGGAATGTTATTCCTTAACTAGCTATATACATCAGGCGTGTGTATTCAATAACGTCTGACTGATTTCTTAATCCCCTTATTAAATAAAACAATTGACTACGGAATAATTTGTTTTGTAATTTATTTTAAGATCCAATTTAGAACTTGTTTTATAATGTCATAACAAAGACAATCTCTGTAGCCATATCCCTGTGTCATTTTAATCAGAATACGCTGATAGTAAACCAACAATAATTGGCTTCCGATTAAAACAACAATCAACTGGATTAAGGGTGTAGTTGAAAAGCGTTTTTGGGTGCCCGATACTTAAACCTCGATATGTCGAATAATTTTAACCGGATTGAACTTGCTGTAATGTATATATAGTAACCACTGGCTATAAGTACATACAATCTAGTTTTATCATCTTATGTGGTTTTTAAGATAGATGAAGCAATTTTAAAAATCTATTTTAAATAAAATCAGATCAGTATTTAGTTAAACAATCAATTGATTTCTTAAAATGTAAAGCAAGCCGAATAACTCAACCTGATTATTGCTAATTTGTGAATGTATGGTTAACCACAAGTTGGCACACTTTGCGTTAATATAATTGAAGTATTTGACAGTCTGTGACCAATTAACCAATATAAAATTTCTTTATACCAGCTAAGCATCGATTAGCGCAACAGCAATTCCTTGCAAACTATAATATTGTGAAGTTTTATCTCTAATAGGAATATCAATTCCGTTCAAAATTACAAAGTTATAACTAAAATTCCACCGATCTATACTGTTTGCTTATAACAAGACGATGCCATCTTTTATTAAATGTTAAATACTCAACCTGGGTAGATATTTAGCGTGGAGAGAGCTAGGAGAAATTTGATATTTGGGCAAAAATGCAAATAACGCATCTAGTATTTAAGAGAACTTTTGATTTAAAGAGCATACATAAGGGATTTTTTGTCCATGGGTTTATTCCTGACGTGTAATATTTATGAGTTTTTGTTTGTAGGATTTTTTTATAACCGACTTCCAGGTCGTTAGTTTTCTTTATTCACGTTGAAAACCCTTTTATTTCAGATGGCGGATATTTACAGACTAAATTATACATCTGCAATATTAAGTATACTGGCTATTATATCCCTTGGGTGGCATACGATAGCTCAAGACCCAGTATTGATACAACGTCCGAGGCGTTACGATCTACTACAAACACTGTGTGATGAAGAAAAATGCGTAAAGATTAGCACTTCAACATTACTTAATTATTACGATGGACTGTTTCATACACAGGAAGAGATCGGCGATAAATTAAAAGAATGGGCCACGTTACATCGTGAAAAGTATGGCCAAACCAGACCAGCATCATTCCTGTATCAAGTTTGCAAAGACCCTTACTATGCATCGTAAGTATACGATGAACTTTTGGCATGTTCGTTTTCTGGAATGGGTACACTGTTTTAAGTTTTATGTTTACTGCCATGCCTAACTGATTATTTCCTTTCATTTCATTTCAACCCATTAGGAACGGAAATAAAATATCGGAATTAGAAATGGATGGCTTCGTTTATAATGACCGTTGAATCTGGAAAAGCTTTTAAATTTCAAAGGAATAAAGTATAAAGGGTACACAACATTTTGAACCTTTTCTCCATTTTGCATTCTGATATGTTTTTGTTAGTAAACATAAATTATTATATGGAATATATCAAATCGATACCTATAACATACGGACCTTTACATGGACAATGTCAATATAGACCTCAAAGAACGTTCTACAAATGAAATTGTTTCCATAATATTTCGAACAACATAACAGGACATTTACCAGTGAGAATCATAAATCATTTTCTCTAACTTGTTACGGCTAATTTGATGGTTGGTTTTCGGGTTTGATTCATGATGATTGTAACTTTTTTGTCATGTTTCTGACTATTGATATCGCTTCTCCGCGAAGAACCTAGGAATAGTGATGGACAGACAGCCAATATCTTGACCACATCCGTGGAAAGGTATATACTAAAGCCTTCCATTAACGTATAATGTTCCAGAGAGGAAATAGGTGTGTACATAATACATCAAAAAGAGTTCGAATGAAACTGTCAAAGAACAAGCTCATATCACTAAACTCTCTATTGGCCATCAGTTATCGCAATAGCCTTCAAAACGGCTAGGAGAAGAGTCAAAAATTGGATCCAGGCACAATATTCAATGCAAAATACTGAAAGGATTCGCAACAACCAGGAATCATTTACATGGTCGATGAAGATTACGAATCTTTTAGGATCCTCCTATTAACGCAATTTCTTTATTCCACACACCTGCGAACTATGCGTTCGACTTTTCAGAACAGGATTAGTGGACTTGAAATACATTAGGAAGAGAGAGAGAGGGAAGTGTGGTTTAACGTCCACACGACACAAACTAGGTCATTTTGGGACCAACATATGGTTCAATTTTATTTCAATAATTCCCTTGCGCCTTAGGGTCTTTAGCAGTGCGAGGAAACCGGAGGATACGGAGAAAACCCACGAGGTTGGACATGCGACCCTACTCCTTGTCACGTACAACCGAGTAATAGTAACTACAATGTGCGCGCGCTAACCATTCGGCCATCGAACCCTCCAAGTACATTAGGATAAAAAAAGAACAAACTGGGCTAGACGATTTCTGCTTTAAGTGGATTAGAAATGGACAGAAATATCAATACTTTATACTCGTTTCCTCTATGCTTATTTATATGTTATTTTTCTTTCAGGAATAGCTTTTGCACAAACTTTAAAACGCAGAATCAAGATTTTGATCTATGTTGTCCCACGTAAGTATAATAATATGTAGAGGTAAATTAATGTCTTCTCAATCGTCATCCATGACTAACATTTAAGAATACTTGACGGACATTGGTATAACCATTATGAAAATATATTTTACAGGAGCTTTTATCACACACCAAATGTTAACATGGTTAATATTCGTCGGCAGACAAAGGTCCTTGTTACGTTACAAAATCCAGAAAGAAAACAATTTGTTCCTTATGCTCAGTGTTTGTAAGTATGTTTATTTCATGCCATATTTTACAATGAAATTATACTGTTATCTTTTATTTATGGATACCAGTGTTCAACAGACTGTGTTTTTGGCAATAATTTTATAATATCCTGTGGGATTTGTAGCAAAGAAAATCTATACAATATAACTGTCAATACATACTGAGATATAGTTCATGATATAGATTTATCAGAATGTTGTTATGTGACATTGTCAATATCTTACATACTGCCTACATTTTATCTTTGCAGAGCTAGTGGGGCATGTTTTGAAAGTCTGGGATCATGTCAGACAGATACTATTGAAATTCCGTTGCTGGTTGTCGATCCGGAACATATCCCCCCTTGTAAATTTGACACATTTTCCGTCCCAGCTTATTGTTCGTGTAAATCAAATTAATTAAACCAAATGTGTTTTAAAAAATAAAAAGTAATCTGTCATTTTGCCGATTAAATTAATTAAACCAAATGTGTTTTAATAAATAAAAAGTAATCTGTCATTTTGCCAAATAAATTCTAATTTGTTGATTAGAACGCCGAAAGTCGAGCACTGCGTTTCTGAAGGGTTATGGTGTATCTCTGAGATCCCAACCAATTCCGCTGATAACACTATATGCAGCTGCCCAGTTAGGTGACATTTCCAAATCTTGATTGCATCAATTGCTCTTCATTATTATGTGAATAATAGTAATATGGTATTATTATTCTTTAAAATTTTGTAAGGAAGGTAAAAAGTAAATACAATATAGAGCCATTAAAAAGCGGCATATATCATTCTGTATACAGACCTTACTTTTAAAGCAATGATTTGAAAGTTTCTGGGCTGGGCTGTTGTGGGCTGGAATATGTGGTGGAGGGTGTGGGACAAACAAAGTCCGATAGCGGTTAATTCAAAAACGCCGACCCCTAACTTATCTCCTGATCTTAGTAGATATTAACATAAAATAAAATGGGGTTTAACGTCCTACTTTTCTGTACGGTACCTTTGCTAATGAAGACGGACATGAGCCATTGAGCTAGCTATGAGAGAATTCATACCCTACTCTTTTTTCGTGCTGCCAATGGTATACATTGGCCTTAAATTTACATGCCAACCGAAAAACTAGGCGTTTTTCATCGACAGGCCAGCCGCCCTGTATCACCAACAAGGGGAAACCGGGCAGGAAAATCCACGAGGATTACTGAGCGAACGTGGCATATCTTGTTCGGAGACATGACATCCAAATCCCTATTTTGAGTACTGTGAGGCTCTCGCATGCCGGAGAAGGCGCCACAGAACCCATACACCCACGTAAGGAATCAAATGTGTGACCATAACGCACAAGTGACTGGCAAACTAGTACTTAGAACACTATTCCACAGGTTACTTTGACATATCAACCGTCACCTCTCCACGTGACTGTATTTTCCATATAAATAAAATCAAACATGTGTAAGTATGTATGTGTGTATGTTCGCTCATCACGGTTCGCCGCCGCAATCCACACCCACATATGTGATAAAGTAACCAGCATGTCCACGTGAATGTTTTAGGCCATCGAATATGGGCCCCGGGCGAATCACGCACGCCTCGTCGACGCTCTACACCCACATAGAGTATATGTGGTATCAAAGTAACTAGCATGACCCCGTGAATGTTTTAGGCCATAACGATTCGTCGCCGCGCCCCACCCCCAGCATGATCCCGTGAATGTTTTAAGTCATCGAATCTGGTTAAAGGTCGTATTTCGTTAAATGGCAAATATGGGCCCTGGGCGAATCTGGCCCTTGGCGAATTGGGGCCTTGGCGAATTTTGACCCCTGGCGAATTTGGGTTCCAGGCGAATTAAGTCCCTGTCGAATTTCGGCCCAGTGTGAATTTCGGCCACGGGGGAAGCCGTGTATCCTGTTAGTAGGTAATAATGCAGGTAATCTGTTGATGTCCTGATTAACATCGCAAATTTTGCTTTCATATTTAAAATATCTTCGTATATTAATCATGTTATTAATTACCTCTTTCTTATATGAACTATCTAAGCCTTTCTTCATGAATGCATCGGTTATAGCCCATTGTCTCTTGTGAGATTACGTTATTATCAACTGTGTATCTCTGCGCATTTGTAAATTGTGTATGCTTGATAACGGCTATTTTGTATAATAGTAAATATGGTATTATTACTTTTAATATCCTTTATTATCCATGGTGTAAGGTGGGTAAAAAAATATAAATATAATTGATTTAAATTTTTCTGGGCGTATTTGCTGTTGTAGGCTGGCATAGGTGGAAGACCGGAGGCTCAGTGCTGGGGGTGTCCATCAAATGGGCACAAAACCAGAAACCAGACCCAATTTTTCTAGAGTAAAATTTTGCGTAGAATACGATGCCGAGTGGTAATCAGTCCGCCGTTGGGGCGTTTTCGAGATATTTGCACTGAAAGTGAATGCGCAGCTATTCTTATATATCATGAAAACATGCTGAAAATGATCGAAGGTAATCATTCTTTCAATAAAAATGTAAACTTGCTCTATTCACTTTTGTTCTTTGTGACCCCGGAGGTTAAAAGGTCACATGTTCTACACTAGGAAGATTTAAAGCAATAAATGTCCGCGTAAAATATAAAAACTAAAGCGAAATCTATTCTAAGGAACATTTAAAACTTATCTTTAGGTGGTCTTAGCACCTTACATTTACTTTGGAACATCGAAAAATGTCTTGCATAACAGAACCAAAACACCCCGAAACCTGTTCCAAAACACGTAAAAACTGTCAAATCGAAATCTCCCAGATTTAGTTTAACAACGACTGTTATACATAATGAAACTGAATAGTTCATTGGTTGGACTCCAGCCTGTAGACCAAGTGTATTTCCGGGAATCCCCATCTGGCAAAACCGACGGTAATCTGTGACCGAAAAACACGTGATTAAAGGTTTGCAAATTTTTTATGAGTTTTCATGAATTTCGCCGGAATATGGACACGGATAAAACCGACGGATGCATAGAACATAATAGCTCACGGGATATAAATGCCGTATTGGTAAGTGTTACCGGGGAAAAGTTTGGCAGGTTTCGTGACGCGACCTGTAGACTGGAGTCCAGCCATGAAACTATTCAATTGTTTTTCAGACAACTAGTTTCATTATGTATAGCAATCGTTGTGAAACTAAATCGGAGAGATTTTGATTTGATAGTTTTTACTTATTTTTGGAACAGGTTTCGAAGTGTTTTGTTTCTGTTATGCAAGATTTTTTCGACGTTCCAAATTAAAAGTTCGGTGCTAAGACCACCCAAAGATACGTTTTAAATGTTAGTATTATTAATTAGAACAGGTTTCGCTTTAGTTTTTATATTTTACGCTGACATTTATTGCTTTAAATCTTCCGAGTGCAAAAACGGAAAATTTGAACTTTTGACCTCCGAGGTCACAAAGAACAAAGATGAATTTAGCAAGTTTACATATTTATGGAAAGAGTGATTACTTTCGATCATTTTCAGTATGTTTTCATGAGCATCTTGAAGTATGTGGTGGGGGCAAATTTAGTGTTTTTCCTTTATATAGACTTAATAGCAAAACAACGACCTATTGGAGGCAAAAGAAAGCTATTTTATTGAGAAGTACCACCCGAAACCTAATTCTAAATAAGAGAATAATTAAATTAAATAAAATAAAGACCGTGGTGGGATTGAATATTTGTAGTCGGTAGGCTATGGAGTAACTACGCTTGCCTGTATAATAATTTTATCATGTAACTTACTATCAAAGACGTATATAGATAAAGTTGCGACAACTGTGATGCCTGAAATTTCATATGACGTCAAGAAAATATGACGTCAAGTGTACAAAGAGGGGTTGAATATACATGTAGGCTATGCCTGTTCCCCAATCCCTATTCAGATACAAATCTGAATAAAATATTGCTTATATAAAAAAAAAGTGTACAAAGACGCCATCTTGGGTTCCAAGTATTTGTACCTACTCACTTTTTTATGTCCTATCATACTGTTGTGTCGAAGTTGGCTTCCAATGACAGAAATGTACATTTTTTAAACGAAAAGTATAGCTGAACAAACTATTGTTATTATAATTATTATGCAACAAAAAGCGCACATTATTGTTATAATAATATAGTCCAATTCATAAGAAAATGAAATGAAAGATACACCAGATAAAAGCGCTATTAAATATATTTAACTTGCATACGCTTTTGAAAATCAGATTTTTTGTGCAGACGGGTAAAGTGAAAAATAAAAATTTAAATTATATAGTAATTTGGAAGATAAAACCTTTTTGCCTTCTAGCCGGCAAAATAAATGCCTGAAATTCCATTATTTTTTGGTCTGGAGCCATTCCGGATTGGGTTATCAATCATTAATTGTATCATCAATTTTTCGAAAATAAAAATTTCTTTAATTGACTAGATAAAACATTTAAAATCAGTGTAACTTAAAATCAGTGTAATTTAAAGGAGCTAAATCGCTAATATTTGGAATCTAGAAATTGACATAAATGGGTCGCAACGCATATATTAATGTAACATGAATGTATATAAATTAATTTACGTTCAATCGTTTCCGTTTTTACTCTAATTTCAAGTCAGTTATGTTCGGCGAAATAATCCAGAGGTCTCAATCGAATGGCAGTCACTAGCATCTGGTTATTCCAGTCTACACCGATAGTATTTATTGCGCATGCTCTTCGGATAAGAATATGGCGTCACCGATTGACAACACTGGTGGAATATGTCCAACCTCGTTTTTCGAGTCCCTTGTTACAAATGGCACCGAAAGGCATTATGGTACACGATTCGTGTACCAAAGGTAAAATGTTAATTTTGTCTTAAATATTGGATATCAGAAGCCCATCTTTTCCCGGTAAGATCACAACACCATTGTTGATTTAAATTGACAAATAATTCGTGTTTTCAATGTTATCCAAAACCTTCGACAATGAAAACGCGAATTATTTGTCAATTTTAATCAACATTGGTGCTGTGATCTTACCGGAAAAAGATGGGTTTCTGATATCCAATATTTAAGACAAAATAAACATTTTACGATTGGTATACGAATCGTGTACCATAATGCATCTCAGCGCAAATTGTAGCATAACTGACTTGAAGAACGAAGTTAGAAACATTTCACAAGTCTTGTAAAACGGTGACCTCAAATTCGTATAATCTGGAGAGCATGCGCAATAAATACTATGGGTGTAGACAGGAATAACCAGACGCTAGAGATAGATTGTCATTGGATTGAGACTTCTGGCGTATTTCGCCGAACATAACTGCTTTGAAATTAGAGTAAAAACGGAAACGATTGAATGTAAATCAGTTTATTTACATTCATATTACATTATTATATACGTTGCGACCCATTTGTGTCAATTTGTAAGTCCCAAATATTAGCGATTTAGCTCCTTTAAATAAAAGGTGTCTAGCGTAACATGTGTTTCGGGCATGTTTCA